AGAATCTGACTTCTAACAAAAAAGGGGCACCTTCCCACCTCATAAGAAGGATGGCTATTACACCTCATCAACTAATCAAAAAGCCAAGCATTTCCAAAGTAAAACACATTTTCAATGATTAAGAATCTGGCAATGACAGAGAAAAAAATAGGAGTCCCAGACAGTGTAGATTAGGAGCATATGTCTCCTTTCTAACTGCCAGAGGGCACCTGTGCTCACCAGAGAAAAAGAAAGCACTCCCCCACAGAGTGCGCACACGCTCACACCGTTTCCCTCTGGTGAGCACGGGCATTCTCTGGCAATTAAAAACAGGAAATAAAGTAACAATGAAATACCGTCTAATCTACATTCTTGTAACTATCAAGTGAAAAATACATGCAACTTCAATTTTCTTTTAACCTGGAGAAATTCTATTCCATGGTGAAATCCCCTATCAAAACTTACTTTTTCTATGAATATGTCTGCTACTCCCAATTTCATTATAAACATTATTCTCAGAGTTTCACTGGTACTTGGTTCAGACCATTAACATAATACACATCATCAATTAAAAAAAAGTACTACTAGTTATTTTTACATCCTGACTTGGATTATTATTTGGAGGCGGGGCCGGCAGGTGGCGTGGTAGTTAAAAGCCTTGGATTCCCATATGGCCGACCATGGTTCAAGTCTCAGATCTGGCAGCTTGCTTTCTCACTTTTCCTTTTTTTCTCTCTCTGGTAAAATTAAAATATAATAATAACAAATGGAAATAAGTAAATAAATAATTTTTTAACCAAAAAAAAAAAGTTATCTGAGGGAAAGCATCATGCTACATGTACGACCTCGCACACACACACACACGCGCCTCAGTGAACATCTGCTGGATGCTGAGCAAATGTCATGGAAAACTGAAAACGGCACTGGGCTCTATAAACCAAAACAGTGATCCTCCACAAAGGTGATGTAAGGTGGCTGCTGTTAGGTCAGCCAGTCACTGGTGGTTAAGGTGGCTGCATCTCACAGGGCTGACTGTCCTGGACACAGCAGCTCAAAGAACACAGCAGGTGTGTATATGCTGTGTATGCTGTGTATACACTGAGGGCCCCAAAACTCCGAAGGAGAAACATGGTCATGGCATGACCATGCCACATGGGGTGGTGCTTTCTCACTTCCCTTCTCTCTACCTTAACCACCGTGCCACTGGCTGGCCCTAGAAAGGTTGCTGAAGTCAGAACCTAACATCTCCTAATGTCAGGGTGTTCTTTTTGAGATAATTCTAGAGCTGAGAAATGTCCTGAAGGAAGATTAAGCTCTGAGATCTGAGATCCCCGTGTGTCACTCACTTCAGTGTGCATTTCAGTGTCTAAGATGAACTTGGTCACGAGTCCGCAATGCAGAATAGAGAAGACCTCAATGTCCAGCTCGCGGAAAAAGGCATGGTAATTCTGCAGTAACACGGATGCCTTTTCCTCCTTCCCTGTCATCTCCTGCGGGTGCGACAACCAACAGAATTAGTAAGTCATCTTCTACCTTAATGTAATTTTTAGTGAATATTTCAAAATGCATTCATTTTATGCAAAAAGCTACATTTTCACCCACCACCATCCCCCTTTCACCGAAGTCCCTAAACCTTCCTGAGAGAGAACTCTTCATTTAGTATGGGTATACAGATCGCATATCAAGACCCGTGGTTAATTTAACTTAGGGGTGATCTATTAGGCAAGTCGAGGCATTATGATAAAGTACAGAAAAGAGCTCAGGGGCCAGAAGGAGCTGGTGTCAAATACCAGCTCAAGTACTTGTTAAACCATGCAAGCCTGAACCACCGTCACTTACCATCTCTGGGTCTTAATTTCCTCATCTATCAAACGTGGCTATTAATGCCACTGTGGGTTTTCAGGAGGACTAGAGGAGATATACACAATAAATGATAGCTGAAAAGCAGAAGCAAGTGGGAGCCACGTAGTCCAGCAATTCCCCAGACGCACGAGACCTGTGCCACGAATGGTATAGTTACAGATGAGGGGCGCGGCCGCCCATCATTACCAGAAGCCGTGCCACGCGCCATGCTTCAGTGCAAAGCTAGTAGTCTGGAGTCAGACGGGCAAAGAGGCAAAACAAGATATACCCAACTACAACCATCCCAAGACGGCATTTGATAATTGCTACAAGAGAATTCAAAGTGCTGCTGGGATGTGAAAAAGGGAGTAGAACATTCAAGGACATAATGAGAAAAAGCAATTCACAGTATGTACTAAGGATAAAAACTTCAAGTCTATTCCAAACTGTGCTACTTCTAAAGGGTGACTCCAGGGCCTAAGAGCTTACTTGCCTCTCTACCCCTAATTTCTCCCTTTGTAAAATTCGAAGAGCAAGCTGGCCCTTCTGTTCAGCTCACTGGACAACTATGTAGCTCACAGAAACCCATCATTCCAATACCTTATCGCGGCTCTTATCAGATGGTGTAGGGTCGCATTCTGAATTATCTTCCTTTGAAACTGAATTATCCTCCTTTGAAAGTGTGTCAGGGGAAGATGTTTTGCTGCCATCTGCTTTTCGTTTCCTTCCTCCTTATGTTTCAAAAAGAAAAAAGTGACTTGAGTAATCAATAATCACACTTGCCCTCACGGAACAACCCAGAGGTAAAAAGGTAATGTGATAACCCCACAGCACAGCGCATTTATAACCTTGCTAGAAAGGGTCTGATTACATAACCTCTCCAATCACCCATACTTGGATACATGTAACCTTTTAGTTAATTCAGTGTATTGCACAGAGACAGAAGGTGAGAAGAAAAAAACATACCTATCTTTCCTCGTCTCATTTTGGCAGAAACAGCAGTACTGGTATGAGGTGTTATATCTAAAGTTTCCAAGTCGAAGCTTGCAAGAGGAGGAACACAGTCTGGGGCGACTGAAACAGACAGCAGAAAGCAGCTCAGTATGTATCAACCATGTACACATGTGAACTGTGTGGCTCATAAACGTGGATTTATTTTTTTAAGAGAGATTTTTGCAGTGAATGTGCTCACCGGACAGACAGAGAGAGACAGAGACAGAAAGCGAGAAATCACTCCCCGGGGGGATGGCCACGCCGCAATCCCTTCTCCTCCATTCTCTTCTCGGGATCTCGGGCACGCACGCACATGTGCCTGGCGTGAGTTTAAGCCACCAGGTCTGGGACTCGAACGGCGATCGACTACGTGGGAATCCAGTGATGCAACCATTATGCCATCTGCTGGTTCCCCTTATTACTTTCTTAATAACATTTTCTCCCCCTAGTTTACTACTTATGTAACAAACAAAATAGGTTTAATTGACTGTATACGTTATTATAAGGCTTCTGATCAACAGTAGGCTATCGGGACCAGCAGGTGGCATGGTGGTTAAGGGTGCTGGACTCCCACATGGCTGACAGCAGTTCAAGTCCCAGACCTGGCAGCTTGCTTTCTCATTTTCCCTCTCTCTCTCTGTATTGCTCTGGTCAAATTTAAACAAACAAACAAACAAACAGGGAAGTTTTTGGAAGTCAAAAAAGTTATACTCAAATTTTTAAATGAGGTGGGGTGCCCCAACTCCTCCATTAGTCAAGAGTCAATTATATGACAGACTTGGAATCCCATCATCCAGTTGGCTAAAAGCTACTTCTCAAAATTACGAAGCATGACTTAGTATTTGGAAGACACATTCAAGTCATCCAACATTGTTTTTGGCATAGTAAAATGGCCAAAGATAACTTACAGGAATATCACACCACCGATTATAGTCAATAAATATAAAATCATTTTACATAATAATACTTTTAAAAAGGCAGGTAAAGACTAAAAATAAAGAAACTTAAATTTAAAATCTAGTAGCAATATTGGGTCACATAGTTTGTTTTAAACAAAGTTATTTTGGATAAAGTCCCAAAAAAAGGCTCTATATTTTCCCCAGAAAATCATGCCAGCACTTTAAAACAACCCGTTACTTAAATCATCTTTACTCTTGGCTTTTAACTATTCCCAGGAAGGCGAAGGTCATGGAATGACCTCCAAAGCAGCAAAAACTGTTATAACAACCCAACCAGTGTTTTGTGCCTTTTACTAAGTGACAAGAGCGCTCAGAGGTGACAATAGGAGTAACATGGATATACCTGTTAACAATGTCACTTGGGGACCAGCAGCGGCATGGTGGTTAAGGTGCTGGACTCCCACGTGGCCAGCCACAGCCTGAGTCCCACGTCCGGCCCACAGCTTTCTCACTTCCTCTCCCTCTCTCTTGCTTTCTTTCTTTCTCCCTCTTCCCCTCCCTGTACCTCTCTCTGGTGAGTGCACATGCCCTATAGCAAATTAAAAAATAAGAAAAATAAGGACCAGCAGGTAGTCTGGTGGTTAAGGCGCTGGATTCCCACACGGCTGACTGAGGGTTGAGTCCTGGACCTGGTGGCTTGCTTTCTCACTTTCCCTCTCTCTGTTTCTCTGGTGAGCACACATAACCTATAGCAAAAAATTTAAATAATAATCATAAAAATTAAATTAAATTAAGAATAAATTAATTAAAAATAATTATTTAATTTCATTTATACGTTTATTTATTTTAATTTGACCAAAGAGAAACAGAGAGATAGAGAGAAAGTGAGAAAGCAAGTCACCAGGACCAGGACTCAAACCATAATCGGCCATGTGGGAGTGTCCAGCACCTTAACCACCACACCATCTGCTGGTCCCCATAAATAAAAAATTTTAAAATGTCACTTAGGTGTAGTGCAAAAGGGAGAGAATCAAGGAGAAAAAAAAGTGAAACATTTAATAGACACGAGAGTAAAATATTATGTTACTGATATATGCTAACACCTTTGACAGGACTAATGCAGTATGTTAGTGCTGGGAAGATTCATTTTGTAAGCTGTAAAGAGGTATGGTGATTAAATATAAAAAAAAATAAGAAAATAAAAGATAAATAAATAAGTAAAGAAAATACACATTGGGCATGAGGGGTTGTTTTAGGGCCAGTGGATGGTGTGGTGGTGTGGTGGTTAAGGTGGCTGAAGCCCACACGGCTGATTGTTTTTTTTTTTTGAGAGGTTTTTGCTATAGGGCACGTGCACTCACCAGACGCACACAGACAAAGAGACAGAAAACAAGAAATCACCCCCCCGGGGCGTGTGTGTGTGTGTGGCCATGCCGCAATCCCTTCTCCTCCATTTTCTTCCCAGGATTTTGGGCACACAGACACACTTGCCTGGTATGAGTTTCAAGCCACCAGATCCTGCGTTTGAACCATGGTCGGCCATGTGGGGGTCCAGCACCTTAACTACCACGCCACCTACTGGTCCCAAAGCTAAGTTCTTTATCACTCACAACTGACCTGTTAGTGCCGCTACCACAGAACACTTCCCTTACCTGCCAGGTACTCTTCTAGGATTTTCTGCAGTTCTGCAATGTGCTTTAACCGGGTGAGCACCTTCCCCTTCATCTCAGGAGATGTTTGCCTGCAGAAGGCATTCACAACCTGCAAATATACAAATTATATTCTCATATTTTAAAATATTCAGATTTTAATTATGTTTGCATTATTCATCCAGAAATGAAAGATGCCAGTAAACAACAGGATCTCTGAGTTTAGCCTATAATGTTAAAAGTGTTCTAAGCATGGGGGCCATCAGGTGGCACGGTGGTTAAAGGCACTGGACTCCTACATGGCCGACTACAGTTCAAGTCCTGGACCTGGCGGTTTGCTTTCTCACTTTCCCTGTTTCTCTCACTCTCATTTTGTCCCTCTCTGGTCAAATTAAAATAAATAAATAAATACTTACACTTAATTTGACCAGAGAGGGACAGAGAGACAGAGAGAAAGTGAGAAAGCAAACTGCTAGGTCCAGGACTCAAAATCCAGTCAGCCATGTGGAAGCCCACTGCCCTTAACCACCACGCCTCTTGCCAGCCCCAAAACATTTGATGTTTTTAAAAAAGAATTATTTTATTTAACTTTATTAATTATTATTTTCCAGTTTTATCAGAGAGAGAGAAAGAGAGAGAGAGAGGGAAAGTGAGAGAGCAAGCCACCAGGTTCAGGACTTGAACCACAATTGACCACATGGGAATCTAGCACCTTTAACTACCACGCCACCTGCTGGCCCCCTTTTTTTCATTTTTTGGAGAGGTTTTTGCTATAGGGCACGTGTGCTTGCCAGAAAGACAGAGACAGAGAGACAGAAAGTGAGAAATCACTCCCCGGGGGGGATGGTCACGATGCAATCCCTTCTCCTCCATTCTCCTCTCGGGATCTTGGGCACGCATGCACATGCGCCCAGCGTGAATTTAAGCCACGGGGTTCGGGATTCAAACCACGGTCGACTACATGAGAGTCCAGAGACATAGCCATTATGCTAACTGTTGGTTCCCAAAACATCTGATTTTAATCCTGGTCTATATATTACTATTTATATAACAAGGTGAAATACCTAGAGAGCACAAACACTTTGGCAAAAATAAGTCCTACTTTGCTTTATAATAGTTGTATAACCTTGGCCAAGTCTTAAACTTTCCTGAGCTTTAATTTCGTCAACTATTAAATGAGAATAAAATTATTTTATGAATTAAATAGCATGAAATAATTAGCCCAATACTTGGTACAGTTATATAAGTGCTTAATACATTTTAATGACTTTAAAAAAAAAACCTTTACCTGGGTTGGTAGGTGGTGTGGTGGTTAAGGGCGCTGGACTCCCACATGGTCGACCATGGTTCAAGTTCTAGACCTGACGGCTTGCTCGCTCGCTCTCTCTCTCTCTCTCTCTCTCTCTCTCTTTCACAAAAAAACAAACTAAAATAAATAAATAAATAAATAAAGTAATTCTTAAAAAATTTTTTTGTTTTTGCTATAGGAGTCACACACTCGCCAGAGAAAGGGAGAGAAATGCGAAAGCAAGAAAGCACCCTTCAATCTCTTCTTGTCCATTCTCCTCTTGGGATTTTGTGCATGTATGCACATACACCCTGAACTTATTATTTTTTTTAATTGCTAGAGGGCACATTAGTTCACCACAGACAGGGAGACAAAGAGAGACAGAAAAAGGGAGAAGGTGCCCCCGAACGTGATGTGGTTATGCCTAATCCCTTCTCCTCCACTTCTCCATGCTGCTGGGATGTTGGGCACACATGCACACGCTCCCGGTGTGTTTTTCAAGCTTCTGGGGCCAGCATTCGAATTGCAGTGCTGCCATATGGGATTTGACTCCCTTAACCACTAGGTCACAGGCTGGCCCAAATTTTAATAACTTGCAGCTCTCTGTACTTAAAACTCTCTGTGGGGTCAGCCCATGACCTGGTGGTTACATGAGCTGGATCGCACAAGTCTGACTGTAGTTTAAGTCTCCCGTGGTTTGAGCCCTAGGCACGTGTGCATGAGTGCCCGAAATCCTGAGAAGAGGGAGACATGGAAGAGAAGGAATTGCAGCATGACCATCCCCATGAGGGGTGTTTTCTCACTTTCTCTCTCTCCAGTGAACATATACACTGTCTGGAAAACTAAAAATAAAACAAAAATTCTCTGTAAAGCCAGGATAGTATCTGTCCTGTCCACTTCATAACAGAATTACAAAGATCAAATGAACTCATTCAAATATGCAAACATTTCTAAACTACGTGAGAGAAGCTGCGTGAACTGGAGATGTAAGAGGCCCCCACGCCATTGTCATGGAGAGCAAACGTGCTCTAAAGGAAGGGGAAGCTGCCGTCACTCTGTCTCACTGAACTAACACGGTAAGCTACACCTGTGCGCTTCCACAGTGGGGAATGTGGAATCAACAAATTACTCCAGGCGGAAGAAAGAATTTGGTGAGAAGGCTTAGGAAAAGTAAAGCATGGGGCCAACAGATGGCATAGTGGTTATGTCACTGTACTTCCACATGGCAGACCACCGTTCTAGCTCTGGATCTGGTGGCTTGAAACTCATGCAGGGTGGCTGTGTGTGTGTGTCTCCTGGGAGGAGACTACAAAAGAAGGGATTGTGGCCTGGTCATATCCCTGGAGGGTGGGGGTGACTTCTCACTTTCCCTCTCACTGTCTCTCTTTGGTGAGCATAAGTGCCTTATGGCAAAAACCTCTAAAACAAAGAGAAAAGAAACTATAAAAGCATGAGCAACAGGAAATGTGTTTATATGTATTTATATGTTATATGTATTCTTTTTAAAATAATTATTTATTTAATTCAATTTGTTGTTGTTATTTTTTTAAATTTGACCAGAGAGAGACAGAGAGATAAAAGGAAAGCAAGCTGCTAGGTCTAGGACTCAAACTGTCATCGTTCATGTGAGAGTTCAGCCCCTTCCCCACCACGCCACCTGCTGGCCCGAGTTCATTTTCTGATTTAGCTACGTCAGGAGGTAGATTTACCCGGGAAGTGGAGGGATATAACAACCAGAGAAGAACGCAGAGGTAAGTACTTGCTGGAGCAATTCAGGTAGCCTCGTGGGAACCAGGAAAATAGTCTTTTTGAGGGAGAAACTACCCTGAGTGAAAAACATCTCAGCCACTCTGCTTACCTCTCGGAACCAGTTGAGAGTAAGAAATATGAGTGAACACAGGAAGGAGTGCTCTCTAGCAGACATGGATCCCAGCCTCTCTCCAGGCTCCAGGTCAGTGAGGAGTACGGGACAATCTGAGAGAAAACGGACGTCTGTCACTCCCTTCAGGTCAAGCGAGGTTGGTGCTGCCCCGGAGCCAGCGCTCCTCGCTCCTTACCTCTCCCTTTAACTCACACTCGAGGGTTTAGCAAGTCTCGAAAGAACGCTTCACTATCACATAGCAATCAACAAATATAACTGGGAGATCTGGGCAATGATTACAAAGAAAGGGACCAGGAAGCAACCCGGAAACAATCGACGTGTTAACATCATGGCGTTCTGTGGGTACTGTTTAAGACTATGGAATTTCCTATTACTGTACAACCCTTTGACACCAGAAAATTCCCACACACACTATGCACTGGCCTGCCCTTCTCCCAGGTTTACCAAAGGTCACAAAGACCAAAGGACACAATGACATCATCTTGTACCTAACAGACCATCGATCTCCTCCAAGTTCCCGTCGTGTTGTCTCTCCACACAAAGTCTCAGTAACCGGAAAAAGGGCGCCAGGCACAATGGAGACACCGATCTGGGAAGGAAAAACCCATGTCTACATCCCACTTTACAGTGGCTATAAGGAGGTCAGCTTTACAATGGAGTTTTGTCCAAAGCCCAGTTGAGGTGGCATAGGATGTAGGGCACTGCACGATGCTGGAGCCCTTGGGAGGCACTGGGCTTAGATCCCAGGGTACCTGAACATCCCGGCTGACTGAAGGCTCGTGGTGGGGAGCTGAGGCATAGCAAGACCCCATCAAGGTTGCCCCCCTCCTCCCCTAGAAAAAAATGAACTAAAAAAAAAAAATAGTTTTGTGGGACCAGCAGTTGGTGTAATGGCTATGTCGCTGGACTCCTATGCAGTCGACCGCGGTTCAAGTCCTGGACCCAGTGGCTTTAAACTCACGCCGGGCACTTGTCCAAGCGTGCCCAAGATCCTGAGAGGAGAATGGAGGAGAGGGGATTGTGGTGTGGCCATCCCCCTGGGGGCGTGATTTCTTGCTTTCTGTCTCTGTCTTTCTGGTGAGTGCACGTGCCCTATAGCAACAACAAAACAAAACAAAAAACAAAAACAAAAAACCTCTCCAAAAAAAAAGTTTTGCTTAAAATAAACATACTTTTAAGAATGAATGACAAGGAATTTACTGGACACTCAGGAAATAACGAACCGAACTGTAGGGGCAAGAATGTGGGCAGAATGTGAATGTGTGAGGACCGGAGGGAGGGTGAGAGGAGGGCGTGAAAGAGGCAGAGGTAGCCAAGGATATCCATGGCAGGGGAAGCAGGGAAGACACGGAGAAGACAGTCTCACAGAACGTCTGTTAGCTGTCAGGAGGAAAACAAATCTCAACTCCACGGTCTACAAAAAAATAAGCAATCTGCCCCACTCTCTCAACCCTCCAAATACCACTCGTCCTGAGAGACGTGCCCTATAGCAAAAACAAAACAAAACAAAAAACAAAAACAAAAAACCTCTCCAAAAAAAAAGTTTTGCTTAAAATAAACATACTTTTAAGAATGAATGACAAGGAATTTACTGGACACTCAGGAAATAACGAACCGAACTGTAGGGGCAAGAATGTGGGCAGAATGTGAATGTGTGAGGACCGGAGGGAGGGTGAGAGGAGGGCGTGAAAGAGGCAGAGGTAGCCAAGGATATCCATGGCAGGGGAAGCAGGGAAGACACGGAGAAGACAGTCTCACAGAACGTCTGTTAGCTGTCAGGAGGAAAACAAATCTCAACTCCACGGTCTACAAAAAAATAAGCAATCTGCCCCACTCTCTCAACCCTCCAAATACCACTCGTCCTGAGAGACAACCTTTTGACTCAAGTTCTGTGGACTAAAAGAATGGTAGAACGCCCTGCAAATGTTCAAAACGCTGAGAGCTTCTGAACAAGAAAAACGGCACTGACTTCTGGCCTGATTCCTGGGAAGTCCCTTGACCCTCTTCATGTGCAAAGTCCTGCGAGTACAGCAGCGGCAGGAGGTTGATGGCGATCCCGTCTTGAGAGCTGTATTCTTCCAGGCCATAGAGCGCTTTCACAGGAAATGGAAAGTCACTGTGGAAAGAACCAGAATCTGATGTGCCTGCGCAGGAGTAAGTGCAAGGCCACGGGGAAATCACTAGAACAAACCACGTGCAGAAGTCACTATTACGGGGACAAAGAACTGGGGAATCTTTGAGCAGTTCTGAAGCTGGGAACGCAGGGAAGTTACGGTTGAGAAGAAAAGAAGTTGTGAATGGACTTGACTCAGGTCAAGGGTATTCCGAAGTTCGTTAGCTGCAGGCAGAACTGAGCCGACTTCTTCGCCAGCATCACATGTCGGTAGGTAAACAGTACTTACCCTTCTGGAACGGCGGAGTAGTCCACCACAAAGGCATCTTGGAAATCACTAAAGATATTCTGTCCGAGCCATTCCTTCAGGGAACAAACAGAATAGGCAGTGTAGCTCAGGGTGTACCTGCAGCAGAGTGCTACCTAAACTACTACTGACCCTTTTTCTTTCCCTTTTTTTTTAAGAGATTTTTTTCCCCATAGGGCACATGCACTCACCAAAGAGACAGAGAAAGGCAGGGACAGAAAGTAAGAAATCACCTCTCCCAGGGGATGGCCATGCCACAGTCCCTTCTCTTCCATTCTCCTCTCGGGATCTTGGGCATGCTCACACATGCGCCTGGTGTGAGTTTCAAGCTGCTGGGTCCAGGACTCGAACAGTGTTTGACCAACATGGGAGTCCAGTGATGTAACCATTATGCCGTCTGCTGGTCCCCTATTAACCCTTCTAAGCCTCATTTTTTTCCCCTTGAATTCCCAGAAGGTGTGTGCACTCAGCAGAAAAGGGTCAGGATTTGAGGCATGCATGACACACATCCCTGAGACTGGGATTCTAACCATGGCAGGCCATATGAAATCTGGCTCCCAATGCACAGTGTGTCACCTGTGCTGTCAGATTGGCCAAGACTCATTTCTGAAAAGGATAATAATACATATCTTATCTTAGAAAAGAGACAATTCATGTGAAGTCCCTAGCATGGTGCCTGGAGTAGGACGGGGTTCTCGAACAGATCGTGTCATCACCACCGGCACCATCGTGACCTCCCCGTTAACATTATTACTGTTATTAGGTGAAGGGGGCCTCAGATGAGAGCGGGAGCCCTAAAGTACGGGGAGGAGGTGGCCAAACAGACACCTTTCTATTTTCGCACTGCCACAGAGAGAAGGCGTGGGAGAACGAGTGGGAAAGCAGCTCTTAGCTTTATTAGTTTCGGAAAACGCACTCGGCTTACCAGGGCTTTTGGAGCCAGCTTTCCTGCTTGGATCAGGTTGGCAAATTCATCGAAATACAACGCAGAGGCCTCGGGACACTTCTCACAACAGGAATGAACCAACTGTAGCAAGGACGTCACCTGGAACAGCCAAAGAAAGAACGGCGGTGCTGCCAGCCCTTCCTACACCTCCCGCACCCCACTTAACACTGAGGTTTTCCCCTTTCAACTGTGCTGGCAAAGCTCCACCTCTCGCCTGAGGTTTCCTTGAGTTTCTAGAACAGTCCGTCTCTTTCCAGTATCTCATCCCTTTTCCAGTCTACCAGACACAGGCAGCCAGATTCTTTCTTTCTTTTTTTAAAATTTTCTTTCTTTCTCTCTTTCTATCAATCCTTTTCTTTGGGAGAGGTTTTTGCTATAGGGCCATGTGCTTACGAGAAAGGCACAAAGAAACAGAGAGACAGAAGGTGAGAAATCACCCCCCGGAGGGATGGCCACACCGCAATCCCTTCTCCTCCAGTCTCCTCTCGGGATCTTGGGCACCTATGCACACGTGCCCGGTGTGAGTTTAAGCCGCTGGGTCTGGAACTTGAACCACAGTAAACTACATGTGAGCCCAGAGACATAGCCATTATGCCAACTGCTGGTTCCATTATTTATTTATTTTTGCTAGAGGCTGGTACATGCACTTGCCAGGGAGACAGACAGAGGGAGAGGAGAAAAATTCCCACATGGGGTACAGTTACACTGCAATCCCTTCTCCACTATCTCTCCTTCCTTTCGGGATTTTCCACACACATGTGCACACGCCTGGCAAATTCCTCAAGACGTGAACTGTACGGTGGGCCATATGGGATCTGGTGACCTTACCCACCAGGTCACAGCTCCAGCCCCAGATGAACTTTTCTAAGCGAGGCTCTGATTATGCCATTTGCGTGTGAAGAAATCCTTAAGGACTACCTCTGCCTAAAGACTGAAACTGAAGCATCTTGCTTGACATTCAAGGCCCTGTTTTCTCTACCTGAACTGGCTTACGTTAAACTTTCCAATTATACACTTATTTGTGTCTGTGCCCTAGCCATCCTGCTATTCTTTAAACGTGGTCCATTTTTCTTGCTAAGAGTTTACAATTTAACTAGGGAAATTACATGAATTGAGAAAAGCATATTTTCTTAAGCATATATCTTTTTTTTTAAGTAATTATTTTGTTTAACTTTATTTTCTTTTTAAATTTGACCACAGACGGACAGAGTGAGATAGAGAGGAGTGAGAGAAAGTGAGAAAGCAAGTTGTCAGGTCTAGGACTCGAACTGCGGTTGATTGACCATGTGGGAGTCCAGCCCCCTTACCCACCACACCGCCCACCAGCCCTTCTTAAGTATATTTCTTTATTCTATCATTGAAAGAGAGAGAGTGCACATTGACAAGATCCCAATGTCACAGTCCACCCTCAGCTTCTGCCAGCACAGCCAGGCCTGAAACACTCAGGGAGGTCTCCAAGCACAAGCAGCAACCTTCTATGTGGGTGAGCTCTGTATTGTCTTTTACCGCTGGGCCACCGTCCAGTCCCCTCAGAATGCTCTCCCAAAATATTTTTAATAATTTATTTATTTAGCTTTTCCATGAACAAGACAGACACAGAGAGAGGGAGAGAGAGGCAGAAAAACAGTACTAGCAATAGTGTCTTGACCTATATTCCACCCCTAGCCCTCTGCCAGCCCCAGATCATAGTTAAGCATGTTCCTGGTGTAGGTGTACTTAGGGAGGTCACTGGATTTGAACCAGGAACCTTTCCATGTGGGCCTGCCTTGCAGTGTATCACACTTTACTGCTGCACCAACTTCTGTTCCCAGAAAAGCATATTTTGAAAAAGAAGCACACTGGCCAGTAAATGGAGCAACAAGAAGCAATCCTCGGTCACTCAGACACAGGCCGGCCCATGTTCTAGGAACTCACCTGTGCGCACTGCTCGTCGCTCAGGTCTGCTCTCCCTTGGCTCAAACTAGAAGGTCCGCTTCTGAAAACGAGACATTCTGGCTTTATTTGTGCACGTTTATAATAACTGGTGATAAATTTAAGAATCCTGGAATCAGCAGGTGGCGTGGAGGGTAAGGGCGCTGGACTCCCACATGGCTGACTGCAGTTCAAGACCTAGCGGCTTGCTTTCTCACTTTCCCTTTCTCTCTCTCTCTCTGGCCAAATTAAAAAATAATAATAACAAATAAAAATAAATAAATAATTCTTAAAAAAAAAAAAAAATCCTGCCTCCCTAGGAGAAGAGGTAGAGACAGAATGCATGACAGCATGGAGGACGATTTATTCAGTCTTTCTAAAATGTAGATTAAACCAAAGGATGGCTATCATATGCTTTTTAAGGGCACACAAAGTAAAAATTGTAACAGTTAGCACTTCTTCAATATATACTGAGTGCTAGACATTATTCTAACCATTTAATTCTCTCAATAATCCTTTTTAAAAAAATAATTACTTATTTGTTTATTTTTATTTGTTATTATCTTTAATTTGGGGGGAGAGAAAGAGAGAGAGAGATAAAGAGAGAGAGAGAAAGGGAAAATGAGAAAGCAAGCCACCGGTCTGGGACTGGAACTGCAGTCGGCCATGTGGGAGTGTCCAACACCTTAACCACATCACCTGCTGGTCCCTAAAATAAGTAATTTTTTAAAAAAGCAAAAAATGGAGCCAGGATTTGACCCCAAGCTTGTGGCTTCATCGAGTAATTTTTTTGTTTTTAAAGATTTTTTGCTCTAGGGGACCTATGTTCGCTGAAGACAGACACAGACAGAAAGCGAGAAATCATCCAAAGGCCACACCACAGTCCCTTCTCCTCTATTCTCCTCTCAGGATTTTGGGTACAACATGCACACATGCCCAGCTTAAGTTTCAAGCTGCCAGGTCCAGGTTAGAACTGCAGTCAGCCATGTGGGAGTCCAGTGACGTAACCATTCCAGACAGGACTAACACAGCTGGGATAGGGGAAGTTCAACAGAGACCAGCAGCTGGCATAACGGCTATGTTGCTGGACTCCCATGTAGTTGACTGCAGTTCAAGTCCTGGACCTGGTGGCTTAAATTCCCACAGGGTGCGTGTGCAAACGTGCCCAAGATCCCGAAGGAGAATGGAGGAGAAGGAACTGAGGCATGGCCATCCCCCCCAGGGGTGTGACTTCTCGCTTTCTGTCTCTCAGACTTTCCAGTGAGTGCGCGTGCCCTAGCAAAAATCTCTCAAAAAAAAAAGAAGTATACATCACTGTTATTTATTTATTTAAATTTGACCAGAAAGTGGGGGTAGGGGACAGTGAGAAAGCAAGTCACCAGGTCCAGGATTCAAGCCATGGTCAGCCATGTGGGGAGTCCAGCGTTGCAATCACTACACCATCTGCCAGCCCCACTTCAGTTACAGTGTTACCATTTACTGTTATAAAGAGGTCTCTGGGGGACAAGCATGCGGCTGGATTTCCATGCGGTTGACTGCAGTGTAAGTCTCAGACCTGGCGGCTTGCAATCACGCTGAGTGATGTACGCATGAGCAAAATCTTGGGAGGTGAATGGGGAGAAGAGACTGGCATGGCTCTTCCCCCAGGGAGTGATTTCTCACTTTGTATTTTTCTCTGTCTCTCTGGCAAGTGCAAAGTGCACATGCCCTATAGCAAAAATCTCTCAAAAAGCCAAGGATGTCTCTGGGGGCAGCAGATAATGTGGAGATTAAGGTAGTTGGATCCCACTGTGTGGTTCAAGTCCCAGACCTAGCAGCTTAAAAATCACACCAAGTATGTGTGCATGTATGCCCAAAATCCTAGGAGGAAAATGGAGGAGTTGTGGCATGGCCATTCCACCTGAGGGGAATGACAAGTACATTCACCCTGGAGCAAATTAAGGGGAAAAAAGATGTCTATGCAAGGTAATATTTTATTTTCAAGGCCGCAACCTGATGAACTGATCTTAGCTTAGCCACAGAAACGGGAATCTCCACGTGTACCTGTCCGCTGCTATGATGCCAGCCATGGTGACCGCGCCAACAATCCCAATGAGTTTGTACTTGAATACGGTGCTGGACAGCTGCTTCCGTATCACCAGGTGCATGTCATCCTGCAACGAGGCAAAGGTGGAGAGAGATGAAGATGCTGGAATGGCAGTCAAAGAGCCTGTGGATATCGGAGCCAAAGAAACCTAGAGTAGGAAGCGTTCTGTCTTTACTAACTGCGTGACCCTTATCAAGCCATCTTGTCTCTCCGAGTCTCATTAACTTTCATCTATAACATGCAGAAGGTGGGACCAGCGAGAGCAGCATGAACTAATGTCATGCTCTACAGGCTAGAACAACAGGAGATACCTGGGTTCAAATCCCAGTTCAACCTAAGTCCAGGTGTGTGTGACTGCAGTCCCAGCTACTTGTGAGGGTGAGGAGGGAGGATCATCCATGACAGGAACCTTCTTAATAAAAGAAAAAAAGGGAGGAGGAGGTTGTTTTAAGGATTAGAGAGAAACTAAAGAACTCCTACAACAGTGCTATTATTATTAGTGCTAACTGCTCACCAAGAATAGGAAGGTGAGTTAGAACAAAATACTTAGGTGGGCCGGCCGGGGGAGCAGCTCTCACATGACTGACCGTGTGGTTTGCATCCCAGCTGCAGTGGCTTGAAATGTATGCTGGGCATGTGTGGGCCCAAAATCCCTACAGAATGGAGAAATGGAGAGAGAACTGCGGCACGCCCATGTCCCATTAGGGGGTGTTTTCTCCCTCTCCCTTTCTCTCTGACTCTCCCTCTGGCAAGAACAAACACTATCTGGTAGAAATAAAAAACAGAAAAACTTAGAAATAAACTTAACCAGTGAGGCAGAATACTTGTACATTAAAAACCATAGAACACTGCTGAAAGAAATTAAAGTAAATGGAAAGAGATCCATATTGAAAGACTGGAAAATGTAATACTGTGAGGATATTAAGGAGGAGAACGGAGGAGAAGGAGTTGTGGCATGGCTATCCCTCCCCGGTGGGGGTGTTTCTTGCTTTCTGTCTCTCTGGTGAGCTCACGTATCCTATAGCAAAAAAATCTCTCCAAAAATAAATAAATAAATAAATAAGGGACCAGCAGGTGGAATGATGGTTAAGGTGCTGGAAACTCCCACATAGCTGACAACGGTTCAAGTCCCAGACCTGTCTCTGTCAAATTAAAAAAATAAATAAGTAAAATAAAAAATAAATTTAACAAAAATGGAGGGGGAGTTTAAAGCTACAGTTAGTATGGATTACTGCCAGAAGGTGGCACTAAAGATACAAAAGAGCTCTGGGTTACAATTCCAACCCAGCCTTATTTTAAGTTCCTTTGCCTGGCATTTTCGGTGACTGGGGCCCACGAACGAAGGCAAGCAGAGAAAAGTTGATGTTAGATAGTAGAGACGTTCCCTAGGGAACAAAGGAATCATGTGTCCCTATGGCCCCCAGTACAGAACCCAAGTAGCTTTTCTTAGTTTCATGGTTAGCTGATTACAGACCCATCTCCACCCTGTAGACTAAGCTCCTTGAGGTGGAAGATTTCATTTACCTGGCCTCTCATTACCTGGCATAGAATGCTTGTGGTCAAAACACAAACAACAACAACAAAAAAAATACAAGAAACAAACAAACAAAAAAACAAACATAAATCAAGACTGTGGCTATGTATTTTATTTCTACTACTACACAGGCCGGAGTGATTTTGTTCAGCAAATTTCAAATGAAGTGACCGAAAGATTCTTTCTCAGCGTATTTCCTCTTACCTGGATGTGGCTGCTGGCTTCATGCTGCTTTCGGAAGGCCAGTGTGCTCAGAATATAGAAGAGTTTTCGTATTTGCTGAGGGGACATATTATCCAGGTAATCTAAGATGCCCTGGAAGGGGATTTAAAAAAATTGCCAACAATGAGACTGGCAGCTATCATTTTTTCCCTTTAAAGTAAAATATAATCATTAAAAAAAAAAGCCCACGTTGATACATAGGTATCTGTTTCCCAAAAGTGTAAGTTCTAAAAGCTATGTTCAGAGCCCAAAGATGTGATATTCTCAAACAGCTCTTGCAGCTATGGATAGAGAAGTGTTTGCTACATAATTAACGCATGAATAGATGAGTCGGAGGACAAAGTAAGGCCATCCCATGGCCTTACTTTAAGGGAACTGGACACCACGTGGCTGACTGCCATTCAAATCCTGGCCTCAGTGGCTTGAAAAACACATGGGGGAGTTAGCAGGAGCAAAAGGGCCTCCTTGCCTGAGCTGATCGCTGCCCAGCCTGGAGTGTGGAAGGAGGGCTGCCTTGGCTTCTGGGACTAACCCCCAGTTCCTGCAGTCCCAGAACTAGAACGTATTTACATAGCTTCTTCACAGAAAAATAAAAAATAACAATTCTTCAATGAAAAAGTTAAAATGAAGTTACAATTAAAACACACACAAGACTAGCAGTTGGTGTAATGGCTACGTCACTGGACTCCTATGTAGTCAACTGCAGTTTAAGTCCTGGACCTGGTGGCTTAAACTCATGCCGGGCGCATGTGCGTGCGTGCCAAAAATCCAGAGAGGAAAATGGAGGAGAAGGGATTACGGAGTGGCCATCCCCCCTGGGGGGTGATTTCTTGCTTTCTGTCTCTGTCTCTGTCTTTCTGGCAAGCGCATGTGCACTACAGCAAAAAACAAAACCAAAAAACAACACACACACACACACACACACACACACACAAACACACACACACAGAGTACTTGCTCAAAATCCTGACAGGTTGGAGAAATGGAGAAGGGATCACAAGTGTTACTACACCCCACTATGGGCTGCTTTCTACTTCTCCCTTCCTCCCTCTCTCACTATATATGTCTGTCTATCTGTCTGTCTCTCTCTCTACCTCTGACAAGTGCAAGTGCTCTCTGGCAAAAAAAAAAAAAAAAACAGAAAAATAAACATAATAAATGATTAACTATTAACTAATAGATATGACGATGAAGCCAGTGGTTACCTTTATAAAGACAGCATTCAGTCTCATGGCAGACAAGTTGAGCACTACCAAATCCAGGAGGACATCCAAAGCAGTATCAACTTCAGTTTCATTCCCACTGCAGATATGGGTCACTAGAGCACCAACCACTTCCTACACAGGAGAGAGTCAACAGGACAGCGTGAAATAAGAATATGGGATGGCCATTCTACAAGGGTTCATGCCTGAGGCCTCTCTGATCACTACTGTTAAAAATCACTGCCCACCTGGGGCCGGCAGGTGGCGTGGTGGTTTAGGCACTGGACTCCCACATGGCTGACCCTGGCTGAAGTTCCAGACCTGGGGCCTGCTTTCTCACTTTCTCTGTCTCTCTCTGGTCAAATTAAGAAATAATAATAATATATAAAATTTATAAAATTAAATAAATACTTTAAAAAATCACAGTCTACCCAATCCCTTCATCTACTATCTAATTTCAGGAGATTTAGGATCACACCAACGTAACTACACTACCATTTGGGTCTGATCGACTTTCTACAAGGTCTAAGCCCTCCTGATTTTGCTCTTTGCTCCTTAGGGTAATCTGTTTCTTTGTCTCATAAATTTAACCTTTAACTTGTAGTTATACTTAAGCTGTTGGAATTTCTTGAAAATATTGTATCAAAGGAACTGAAGGTCCCAAAGGATTTCTCTACACATTACAGGTGAGACTTGCATGCTTCCAAGCAAATGTGGGTTACAACAGCTCCTCCAAGACATTAACTGGGTTCAAAAAAGAGTCTTGTATGTAATTTTTCCCTCTCCTTTACACTGCTGCTCCATAACAGAGTCGTAATAGAATTATATTCGTAATTGCAATAGCTAGTTCATGTTAGACGCATCTATTGCTCTGCTTTAAATTTTTAAAAAGTTGGGACCAGCAGGTGGCATAATGGTTATACTGCTGGACTGCCATGTAGTCCACTGCGGTTCGAGTCTTGGACCTGGTGGCTTGAAACATATGTCAGGCACATGTGCCCAAAATCCCGAGAGGAGAATGGAGAAGAAAGGATCGTGGCATGGCCATCTCCCCGGGGGGTGATTTCTCACTTTCTGTCTCTCCGTCTCTCTGGTGAGCACATGCACCTTATGGCAAAAATTCCTCTAAAAAAAATAAATAAATTTTAAAAAGTTTTATTTCATTGTAATAGTTTCATTGAAATGTGTTTTAACATTGCTAGTAATAAATACATTATATATACAAATACAAAATAAGACATTTCATTTATTTACTTTGATAATCACTTCTACAAGCAAAGCACTCCCTCTCTGGATATGAGCTATTCAATTTTATGTATTGGGTCCAGCAAACAGTGGAGTGGTATGTTGTTGGACTCCCCCATGGCTGACCACGGTTTGAGTTCCAAAACAGGTAGCTTGAAACTCACCCTAGGTGCATAAGCATGTGCTCAAGATCCTGGGAGGAGAATGGAGGAAAAGGGATTGTAGCGTGGCCATCCCCCAGGGGGTGATTTCTCACTTTCCTGCTCACTGTCTCTCCCCTCGAGTGCACACGCCCTAGGGCAAAAACCTCTTACCCTCCCCCCCAAATTATGTATCATGTTCATGGGAACAGGCTTAGGCCCTCAAGCATTTTTTGTTCGTTTGTTTTTCATCATACTTTTTCCAGAAAACAACTCTAGGTTCAACTGGAAGTAGATCATTTGCAAACCAAATTTAACTCCTATTCCTGTGCTGTGAAAATCACCTGCTAACCACAGTCCTTTATGTCAAGGTTTCTTTGAAGTAGACTAGATCTGGGCCTTAATTTTAGATCCAGAGAATTTTACCGCGTTAGATCATCTAGTGCAATCGCTTCAGTTTAATCAGGCTTTCCCAAGTCCCAGTTCAAAGAGTTCTCCCCCTCAGTGCCTTCCGACAAGAAATAAACATCAGATCACATGCAATTCATTTTGAATTGCCTTTCTTTCCTTTTCCTTGTTCCTTCCTTGCACGAATAAACATTTCAACATACCTGCTGGCAGTAAGTGTCAAAAAATCTAAATGCGTATTTGTATAGGAGACTGCCAAACGACATCGTATTTGGATCGAGGGAGTGAAGCAAACTCTGAGCCAGTGACAGAATGGACGGACAAATATCCTTCAGAACCTTGAGGGGGAGAGTAAAGAGAGAAAAGAAGCCGTGGGACAACAGTTCTTACAGGAGCCAAGAGTTGTTTATCCTTTTAGGACACCAGAGTTCAAAGTTCTATTCCCCAACTAGCACTTTCACTTAAGGCACATTCATTTTTGCTTTACTGAGACTAATCCTTCACCACCCTGCGTTTTATCCCAAGATCAATGGAATTCCACGTATGGTTAAGAATCAACTCAGGGGCCGGCAGGTGACATGGTGGTTAAGGAGCTGGACTCTCAAGTGGTTCATTGAGGTTCAAATCCTAGACCGAGTGGCCTGCTTGCTCATTTCTTTCTCTCTCTCTCTTTCTGGTGACTGCATGTGTCTTATGGCGAATTAAAATAATAGTAATAATCATGGTAATAAATAAAATTAAATAAATAATTTTTTAAAAAAGGAAAAGAATCAACCTTGGGGCCAGCTAGTGGTGCAGTGGTTAAGGCAGCTGGATCCCGCACAGGCAAGTGTGCAGTTTGAGTCCTGGACCCAGTGGCCTGATAAACACGCCAGGCACATATGCACGTGAGCTCAAAATCCCAAAAGGAGAGAGAAATGGAAAAGAACAGAGACGTGACCACTGTTCATGGACAGTGCTTTTTCATTCTTTCCGTCTCTCTGTCTCTCTCAGGCAAGCACATGGGCCCCCTGGCAAATTAATAAATTAAACCAAACCAAACCAAAACAAAAGACCAACCTTGAAACTCCAAGAAGCTAAATTGCAAGCCCAACAATACTATTTCTATTTGCAGTTTGGGAGTAGAAGCCAGATATCGTAAATTCCAGTTTCCTCTCTTGATCATACTATCTCCCCAGGGGAAGCCCACTATGCCTTGATCATGATTCGAAGTCAGTACGTAAGGATCAATGCTAAGTGCACTGGTTCCTGCTAAGGAAGACCAAGACCAGAAGTGATCACTGCTGTCCTAACAACGCAACGCAGAGGGACACTAATGGACCCGGAACACATCGTCAGTCAGTGCGTCCAGTTTCTTTACTATATCATCTTTTCTTTGAAGAGAGACAGGGTCTGGGACCAGCAATTGGCATAATGGTTATGTCACTGGACTCCCATGTAGTCGATCGTGGTTCGAGTCCCATACCTGGTGGCTTAAACTCATACCGAGCGCGTGTGCCCAAGATCCCGAGAGGAGAATGGAGGAGAAGGGATTGCAGCGTGGCCATCCCCCTGGGGGATGATTTCTCACTTTCTGTTTCTCTCTCTCTCTGTCTTTCTGGCAAGCACATGCACCCTATAGCAAAAACCTCTCCAAAAATAATAATAATAAAAAAAGATAGGGTCTCGCTATGTTGCCCAGGCTGGTCACAGATGAACAATTCTTCTTTTCTTCTGACTCAGATGCCCAAGTAGATAAAATTGTAGGCTCATGCCACCACAATCAAATCTGGTATCATCACAATTTAAAAAAAAATTATATTAAGTTCTGGGTGTAATGCTTCATAAAAAAATTCAATAAAAATTATATGATGTCTACCCTCTAGAAAATTAGTCTAACATATTTAACTACCAGAAATAAACACAGAAGAGAATACAAGATAAAATTATACAGATATTCTTCTTAGTTTCTAAGCAAGCCACAAACCACTGACTCAGCCATTTTTCTAAAAAATTCTATACTGTTAAGACACTGACTATTTAGCTGGCAAAACACCAGTCTGAATTTACAAAATTTAAAAGGAGGGACTAGCAATTAGCGTAACGGCTATGTCGCTGAACTCCCATGTAGGCGACCACGGTTCTAGTCCCAGACCCGGTGGCTTAAATTCACACCGGGTGCGTGTGCGTGTGTGCCCAAGAGGAGAAGGGACTGCAGAGTGGCCATCCCCCCGGGAGGGAGATTTCTTGCTTTCTCTCTCTCTGTCTCTCTCTGTCTTTCTGGCAAGTGTGTGCGCCCTATAGCAGAAACCTTTCTGGAAAAAAAAAATTAAAATGAATGGTTTCCATTTTGAGAGAAATCAGTACCTTAGGTTCACAGTTTTTTGGTTCTTTGTAAACATTTGCTTATTTATTTATTTGTTGTGATTTTCAAGACACCAGGTCTGTGACTCAAACCATGGTCAGCCATGTGGGAACTCAGCACCTTAGCTACCATGCTATCTGCTGGCCATCATGAAAACCATAGTTTGTCTGTTGTTCTAGTTTCTGCTACAGGACACATGCAATCACCAGAGAGACAGAAAGACAGATTACAAAAGTGAGAAATCGCCCCCCAGGAAAGATGGCCATATCACAATTCCTTCTCTCTCAATCTCCTCTTGAGATTTTGGTGACACATGTATACGTACCTGGACCCTGCTAGGCCCAGGACTCGAACCTCAGAGTCAGCTACCTGGGATCCAGCTGCTTTAACCTCTTTGACCCATGCTGGCCCCAGGTTCACAGTTTTCTTTTTGTTGTTGCTGAAAGAGATTTTTGCTATAAGACATGTGCACTTGCTGGAGAGACAGAGGCAGAAAGCAAGAAATCACCTCCCCAGGGGTTGGCTATACTGCAATCTCTTCTCCTTCATTCTCTTCTCAGAATTTTGGGCACACATGCACATGTGCCTGGTGTGAGTTTGAAGCTACTGGGTACAGGACTTGAACCAGTTGACTGCATGAGAGTCTAGCACCTTAACCACGATGTTACCTGCAGGCCTCCAGGTTCAGTTTTAAATGGTCAGATAGTGAAGATTCATATTTATGTCTCTGCTAGCATTCCTCTCATCCTATTTTTCTCAGAGTTTTCATAAACTACTTGGAACAGGATAGAGAAGGCAAGTTTGTTGAAGATACAAATCACAAAGATAGACAATGAAAATGATTACTGCAATAGATCTGAAAGTCTCTTGAACAGTGGGATGAAATCAGGAGATGAAATTTTACATGAGCGCTGTAAGGACCTCCACTTTCAAAAATCAAATTATTTGGGTGCCAGCAGGTAGCATAGTGGTTAAGGCACCGGATTCCACATGGCCACTCGCAGTTCCAGTCCCAGACTTGGAGGCTTGAAAATTACACTGGGCATGTGTGCATGCATGCCCCAAATCCCAGGAGAATGGAAGAGAAGGGACTGTGTCACATGTGCGCTCACCAGAGAGAGACAGAGAGACAGAAAGTGAGAAATCACCCCCCCAGGGGGGATGGCCAAACGCAATCTCTTCTCCTCCATTCTCTTCTCAGGAATCTTAGGCATGCACGCACATGTGCCCGGCTTGAGTTTAAGCCACTGGGTGTGCCCGGCTGTAGTTTAAGCCACTGGGTATGTGCCTCAAACCGTGGTTGGCTACGTGGGAGTTCAGCGACATAGCCATTACACTAACTGCTGATCCCTGGAGGGTGATTTCTCACTTTCCCTCTCACTGTCTATCTCTCTTTGGGGAGCACATGTGCCCTATGGCAAAAACCTTTTACAAAAAAATCAAGTTATTCAATATGGAATCAGATAATCCAAATTAGAACATTTCCAACGAAAAATATTTGGGATTTAGTTAAATAAATTCAATATAAACAAAATTTTTCTTTTTGGAGAGGTTTTTCGCTATAGGGCGCATGCCCTCGCCAGACAGACAGAGAGAGACATAGAGACATAAAGCAAGAAATCACCCCCTGGGGGGGATGGTCACGCCACAATCCCTTCTCCTCCATTCTCCTCTCGGGATCTTCGGCACGCACGTACACGTGCCTGGCGTGAGTTTTAAGCCACCGGGTCCGGGACGCGAACCACGGTCGACTGCATGGGAATCCAGTGACATAGCCATTATGCTAACTGCTGGTTCCCAATATAAACAAATTTTGTGAACATTTTGCTAAAAAGATGAAAATCTAGGTTGGTTTATTAAAACCAAAACATCTCAATCTGGTTAAGTAATAATCCTACTGTTATTTTTTTTTAAAGAATTATTAATTTTAATTTTATTTATTCATCCATTTATTTTAATTTGACCAGAGAGAGACAGAGAGAGGGGGTGGGGGAGTGAAGAAAGCAAGCCACCAGATCCAGGACTTGAACAGTCGCCATGTGGGAGTGTCCAGCACCTTAACCACCACACCGCCTGCTGGTCCCAATCCTACTATTTTTAATTTTAAAAGAACTGTTTATTTTTTATTTAAGTTCATTTATTTACTTAATTTGACCAGAGAGAGACAGAGAAAGTGAGAAAGCAAGCTGCCAGGTCTGGGACTCAAACTTCAGTCAACCATGTGGGAATCCAGCACTCTTAACCACCACGCCACCTGCTGGGCCCAATCCTACTGTTTTAAAATATATTGAACTTGGGACCAGCAGTTGGCATAATGGCCATGTCCCTGGACTCCCATGTAGTCGACAGCGGTTTGAATCCCAGACCCGGTGGCTTAAACTGACACCAGGCGTGTGCACCTGCGTGCCCAAGATCCCGAGGAGAAGGGAGAAAGGAGAAGGGATTGCAGTGTGCCATCCCCTCTAAGGAGTGATTTCTCGTTTTCTGTCTCTCTGTCTCTCTATGTCTTTCTGGTGAGAACACACACCCTACAGCAAAAATCTCTCAAAACAAAACAAAAATACTGAACTCCTAGGACCAGCAGTTAGCATAATGGCTATATTGCTGGACTCCATGTAGTCAACCACGGTTCGAGTCCCAGATTTGGAGGCTTAAATTCAAGCTGGGCACGTGTGTATGCATGCCCAAGATCCCAAGAGGAGAATGGAGGCAAAGGGGTTGTGGCCATACTCCCTGGCGTGTGTGTGTGTGTGTGTGTGTGTGTGTGTGTGTGTGTGTGTGTTTTCTCACTTCCTGTCTCTCTGTTTCTCTGGTGCGCACACAATCCTATAGCAAAAACCTCTCCAAAAAAGGAAAAAAGAAAAAAAGAAAATATCCTGAACTCCCTATCAAAGATCAACACCTAGGCTCATTTTCGTGGTGACTTGGAGGAGGTCAGCTGCTTCAAGATGAAGCTGAACATCTCCTTCCCAGCCACGGGCTGCCAGAAACTCATTGAAGTGGACGATAAACACAAACTTTGTACTTTTTATGAGAAGAGTATGGCCACAGAAGTTGTGCTGATGCTCTGGGTGAAGAATGGAAGGGTCAGGGGTGGAAACGACAAACAAGGTTTCCCTATGAAGCAGGGCATCTTGACCCACGGTCGTGTCTGCCTGCTACTGAGTAAGGGACATTCCTGTTACAGACCAAGGAGAACTGGGGAAAGGAAGCGAAAATCTGTTCGGGGTTGCATTGTGGATGCCAATCTCAGCATTCTCAACTCGGTTATTGTTAAAAAAGGAGAAGAATATTCCAGGACTGACTGATACTACCGTGCCTCGTCACCTGGGGCCTAAGAAAGCTAGCAGAATCCAAAAACTTTTCAATCTCTCTAAAGAAGATGATGTCCGCCAATATGTTGTAAGAAAGCCCTTAAATAAAGAAGGTAAGAATCCTAGGACCAAAGCACCCAAGATTCAGCGTCTTGTGACTCCCCGTGTCCTGCAACACAAACACTGGCATACTGCCCTCAAGAAACAACGTACTAAGAAAAATAAGGAAGAGGCAGCAGACTATGCTCAACTTTTGGCCAAGAGAATGAAGGAGGCTAAAGAAAAAAGCCAAGAACAGACAGTGAAGAGACGTAGGCTGTCCCCTCTGAGAGCTTCTACTTCTAAGTCTGAATCCAGTCAAAAATAAGATTTTTATGAGAAAGAAATAAATAAGATTGGATCTCAAATCTCTTTTGTCTTTTCATTGAACTAGACAAGACAGAGAAACTCAAGTCATAGAAAATGGGAGGTGGATAGAGCAATCCTACAGCATCTAAGGGGAAGTGGTATTCATATTTGGAGACTGGTACTGTCCTGCTATGGAAAAGGAGACATGGTGTAGGAAGGGATTTTTAGCATAAAACAGGTGCTGCCTCTTCAGAAAGGCATGGAACAAAGTTGGAAATAAATGACTTGGACTTCTAAAAAAAAAAAAAAAAGGTCAACATCTAGCAGAAGTTACACAAAGATCCCCGTGCTAGCTAGGAAAGGTCAAGATGGTCTCCGTAACTGTCATACTAATGCCTGTTTCTCTGACACTTACCGTGTAATGAATGTAGAAGGTGCCCTGTAGCAGTTGATCCTCGATGCAGCCTGACCGAATCTTATTCCTTAGCACCCTCTCGATGTACTTCTTTGTCTGAGTGTTGGTGCTATAGATGATGAGAAGCATTGCCAGGTCAAAAGTCTATTGTCAAAAAACACAAAACAATAGGAAAACCGCTTAATAAAATCAGTGCATTTACTGTAAGGAAACAGCAGCTCTCAACTTCTCTCCATTAAAACACAGAATGAATGATACAAATCTGCTTCACATACTCGGTGGAAATATCTGCGTTTTCACAAAACTCCGAAATATTTTCAAAAATAAAGTGCGGGAACCAGCAGTTGACCACGGTTCGCGTCCCAGACCCGGTGGCTTAAAACTCACGCTGGGCACATGTGCGTGCGTGCCCAAGATCCCGAGAGGAGAACAGAGGAGAAGGGATTGCGGCGTGACCATCCCCTCTAGTGGTGATTTCTCGCTTTCTGTCTCTATGTTTCTCTCTGTCTGTCTGGCGAGCGCACGTGCCCTATAGCGAAAACCTGTCCCCAAAAATAAATAAATAAATAAAGTGCCACAATTACTAACCACTGGTATTTTTTTAAAAAAATAGAGGCTTATGCATTGGGGTGCATGCACGTGCCAGAGAAAGAGACAGAGAAGGTGAGAGGGAAAGCGAAAAGACGACCCTCCATGGGGGATGGCCACAAATTAAAATAAATAAATAAATAAAGTTAAGTAAAATAATTAAAAATAAAAAGAATACAAATAAAAGTGGTATTTTTAAATAAGTACCTTTTAACATTCTCACATTTACATAAAGAAAGACGATTAAATCTCTTGTCAACTCCAGTACATATTTTCATTATGTTAGAAAGATTACCTAATGAGAGGTTGGAAAGACTGTAAATGCCCACCAATATGGGAATAGATAAAATAAACTACAGTAGCTGTTTTAAAATATTCTGCAGTCATGAGGGCCGGCAGGTGGCGTGGTGGTTACAGGCACGGGACTCCCACATGGACTATCACAGGGAAAGTGAGAAATCAACCCCCGATGGAGGATGGCCATGCTGCAATTCCTTCTCCTCCATTCTCTCGGGATTCAGGGCACACAAACACTCGGGCCCAGTGTGTTTTCCAAGTCACTGAGAGCCAATACATTTCTGTTGCGTATCAATTCCCAAGTCTCAGGTACTCTGTTAGAGCAGCATAAACGGACTAAGACCCGTCCTGGCAGCGATGGACTGTCTGATCCGCACTAGTGAGGTCTACACGGCCAAAGGGAAATTGAACAGGGAATGCCATTATCTTGAGTGGTAGGAAGAGCACTCAGACTGCAACGGGGACCTGACTCAGGAACGAGGTGGCTACGTTCTTTTTTTTGGAGAGATTTTCACTATAGGGCACGTGAGCTTGCCAGACAGACAGACAGAAACATAGAGACAGAAAGCGAGAAATCACCCGCCAGGGGGGATGGTCACGCCGCAATCCCTCCTCCCCCATTTTCCTCTCGGGATCTTGGGCACACACACACACACGCCCCTGGCGTGAGTTTAAACCACTGAGTCTGGGACTCGAACCGTGGTCGACTACATGGGAGTCCAGCAACATAGCCATTATGCTAACTGCTGGTTCCTATGGTGGCTACATTATTCATCTCTTCATCAGGGAACTCTGAACTTTTCGGACTACAACTCAGTGCTTGTTTGGAATGTTAATATTTTTTTAAACAAGATTTTAATTTATTATATTTAATTTTACTTATTCATTCATTTATTTTCATTTGACAAAAAGACAGATACATAGAGAGAAGGAAAGTGTAAAAGCAAGCCACCAGGTCCAGGACTTGAACCATGGTTGGCCATGTGGGAGTGTCTAGCACCTTAACCACCATGCCACCTGCTGGCCCCTGGAACATTAATATTTCCCTTTATGGATACTATAATTTTATTGCCAGGATTAATGAATAGTGGCAGACCATCTGGCAACTCATTCCCTCAGCTCTTCTTCCCCAGATAACGAATGTTTATCAGCACAGTGACAGAGGCACAGAAGGATGATTGAAGGGAGGAAGAAAATGGAAGCATGAGGGAAAGCTGGCCAACGTCACTAGTTTATAAAGTCTGCAACACTTTAATTCATAGTACATGGACGTTACCTTGTGTTCAGACACGGAGGAAATTCTTTCAATTGCCTGGAAAGATAAGGGTCACATCAGTGGAACATATTTTACCTCTCCATTCTCTCGGGATTCAGGGCACACAAACACTCGGGCCCAGTGTGTTTTCCAAGTCACTGAGAGCCAATACATTTCTGTTGCGTATCAATTCCCAAGTCTCAGGTACTCTGTTAGAGCAGCATAAACGGACTAAGACCCGTCCTGGCAGCGATGGACTGTCTGATCCGCACTAGTGAGGTCTACACGGCCAAAGGGAAATTGAACAGGGAATGCCATTATCTTGAGTGGTAGGAAGAGCACTCAGACTGCAACGGGGACCTGACTCAGGAACGAGGTGGCTACGTTCTTTTTTTTGGAGAGATTTTCACTATAGGGCACGTGAGCTTGCCAGACAGACAGACAGAAACATAGAGACAGAAAGCGAGAAATCACCCGCCAGGGGGGATGGTCACGCCGCAATCCCTCCTCCCCCATTTTCCTCTCGGGATCTTGGGCACACACACACACACGCCCCTGGCGTGAGTTTAAACCACTGAGTCTGGGACTCGAACCGTGGTCGACTACATGGGAGTCCAGCAACATAGCCATTATGCTAACTGCTGGTTCCTATGGTGGCTACATTATTCATCTCTTCATCAGGGAACTCTGAACTTTTCGGACTACAACTCAGTGCTTGTTTGGAATGTTAATATTTTTTTAAACAAGATTTTAATTTATTATATTTAATTTTACTTATTCATTCATTTATTTTCATTTGACAAAAAGACAGATACATAGAGAGAAGGAAAGTGTAAAAGCAAGCCACCAGGTCCAGGACTTGAACCATGGTTGGCCATGTGGGAGTGTCTAGCACCTTAACCACCATGCCACCTGCTGGCCCCTGGAACATTAATATTTCCCTTTATGGATACTATAATTTTATTGCCAGGATTAATGAATAGTGGCAGACCATCTGGCAACTCATTCCCTCAGCTCTTCTTCCCCAGATAACGAATGTTTATCAGCACAGTGACAGAGGCACAGAAGGATGATTGAAGGGAGGAAGAAAATGGAAGCATGAGGGAAAGCTGGCCAACGTCACTAGTTTATAAAGTCTGCAACACTTTAATTCATAGTACATGGACGTTACCTTGTGTTCAGACACGGAGGAAATTCTTTCAATTGCCTGGAAAGATAAGGGTCACATCAGTGGAACATATTTTACCTTATTCAACAAGACTTTTTCTCTTATTTGAAAGCCCACCTGCCCATCCATTAACTATCATCTATCATTTCCATCTGAATGACTTTTAACTTACTGGGTCAGTTGGAAAAGTCATGATGTATTTTTCTTTACTTTTTTTTTTTAATTTTATTTATTCATTCATTTATTTTAATTTGATGAGAGAGAGAGAGAGAGAGCAAGCAAGCAAGCCACCAGGGTCCCGGACTCCAACCATGGTCTGCCATGAGGGAGTGTCCAGCACCTTAACCACCACGCCACTTGCTAGTCCCCATCTTTTCTCTTTGTTTTAAAGAATTATTTTATTTAACTTTATTTATTTACTTATTTTTCAATCTGACCAAAGAGGGACAGAGAGAGCGAGAGAGACAGTAAGAAAGCGAGCCTCCAGGTCCAGGACTTGAACTGTGGTCAGCTATGTGAGAGTCCAATGCTGTTAACCACCACACCACCTGCCAGCCCTCATAATGTATTTTTCTATGCAAAAATACACCATGACTTTCCCGAATATTTAATATTTCATCTGTCACTGATTTCCACCTTGATCTTCAAAGTTTCAAAGTTCTCACTCACCTTGATCCAGGCTTCAGAAATGGTTTTCTCATACCTAACAGCTGACTTTATTATATCGAAGAGGAGGAGAACACAGTCTTGACCGCTGCTCTCTTGATTCCCTGAAGAACTACAGTAGCGGAGGAGAGAACATTTTTTTTCTTTTCAGCTTACCACAGACAAGCTTACAAGATCTGGTTCCCGGTTATAAGCCATGGGGAGCAAGTCACAACCTCATGTGTAAGATGGCTAATAAACTGTACCGGAGTCTGCGTGGATGGACCTGAATAGCTGAGCAAATACACAGACATGCACGTGCACGTGATTTTTTCAAAAACTGCATAATATTGTATGAGAATGTAATTATCATCATTTATAGTTCTAAGTGGTAAGTTCTTCATGTTTTTTAAAAATTATTTATTTAATTTTATTTATTATCATTATCACTTTTTAAATTTGCTACAGGGCACATGTGTTCACCAGAGAGAGACGGGGAGGAGGAGAGAGGGAGAGAGACAGACAGAGAGAGAGAGAGAGAGAAGTGAAGAAGCAAGCCACAGGGTCTGTGACTCAAACGGCAGTTGGCCATGTGGGAGTCCAGCACCTTAACCACCACACCACCTGCTGGCCCCAGTTAAGTGTTAAGTTCGAACTGCTCAGGCTAAGTATGGAACATTCTTTTCTGTGAGAAAAGGAGTAGCAACTATAGAGAAGCTGTATACCTTGCTCGACCTTTACTTTTCAACTTGCTTTGGGAAGCCAGGAACCGTGATGGCAAAATACAATGCTGAAGATCCAACTTCTCCCGAAGCTCAGAAATTACCTGTGTAAAGCAAGTGTCAGCTATGTGTTCTGCTCACTCATGGTGGACAGGCCCACTCTATTTTCTCACCAGAACTATAACAGCCTCCCGAAAGAACAAGGAAGGAAAAATGTAAATCTTATTATACAAGGAAGTTTGAAAGAGAGTTGATGAGAAGAACTAATACAAGTATAACCTATCCACATCCAAAATTCCAAAATTCCTTGAGGCACTACCCAGAAAGAGAAAATATAATCTGTAGGGACCAGCAGTTAGCATAATGGCTATGTCGCTGGACTCCCATGTAGTCAACCGCAGTTCGAGTCCCAGACCTGGTGGCTTAAAACTCACGCCGGGCGCATGTGCGTGCCCAAGATCCCGAGAGGAGAATGGAGGAGAAGGGATTGCAGCGTGGCCATCCCCCCTGGGGTGTGATTTCTCGCTTTCTCTCTCTCTGTCTCTGTCTGTCTGGCGAGCTCACGCGCCCTGTGGCAAAAACCTCTCCAAAAAAAAAAAAGAAGAAGAAAAGAAAATATAATCTGTAGCAGTTTATGTAAAATAATTAAACTAGTAGCTTCATTTCCTTCCTTTAATGCTAATAGGATTAACTAGCTTATCAATTAGTATGGTGACAAAAAAGAACAATTGGGAGTTATTACACAATTTATCCTTGGGAACAGCAGATGGAGTGATGGTTACATCGCTGGACTCCCACATGGCCAACCAGTGCAAGTCCTGGACCCAGCAGTCTCAAACTCACACTGGGCACATGTGCGTGCCCAAAATCCCCAAGAGGAAACCAGAGAAGGGACTGCGGCGTGGTCATCCTCCCGGGCGTTAATTTCTTCCTTTCTGTCTATCTGTCTGTCTCTCTCTCTCTCTAGCAAGCACACATGCCCTGATAGCAAAAATCTCTTTAAACAAAACGTATCCTGATGTATCTTTATCTAGGTTTGGTGGGAAATAACAGCATACTTCAAGTGCATCCGTGGCTGTTATGGAATGAAGAATGAACTTGACTATCACAGGTAAGTCGTCCAATCTGACAGATGACAAGTTATCCATCACCAACTGGCGGACCTAAAATAAAAAGCACAAAAACCTTTAATGTTTTCACGTTACCAATCTCAACCTAGTCCTAACTTGTTAGGTAAAATTAGAAAAACCACTCCTCGCAATTTTCACACTTGTAATTTAGAAAGAAAACCACCTCTTTTTATTTTCTCCCAAATTACAAACTTTCAACTATTAATGCCACAGCTTCTTCAAAAATAGGTGATAAATGTGACAGTGTTACTATCTTACATTTTGTAGGCTAAATTCTCAACTCCTTACAGGAAGGAATAAACAAACTGTTATTCCTATGAGAAATGTAAATATTCAGACAACGCAGGTTTCCACTACAAGTTATTTGTTTTCTTTCTTTTCCTTTTTTCTAGATTTTTGCGATAAGGTGTGCGCACTTGTCAGAAAGAGACAAAGATAGTGGGAAAATGAGAAATCACCCCCAAGAGAGATGGCCATGCTACAATCCCTTCTCCTTCATTCTCCTCTCAAGATTTTGGGGCACGCATGCACATGTACCTGGAGTGATTTTCAAGCCGTTGGGTCTGGGTCTCAAACTGCAAAGTCAGCCATGTGGAATCCAGCTGTCGTAACCACCAACCCACCAGCTGGTCCCAAGTTTATTTTTTTTAAAAACAGACCAGTGTGAGGCCAGCAGGTGGCAGAGTGGTTAAAGGTGCTGGATTCCCACATGGCCGACTGCAGTTTGAGTCTTGGACCTGGCAACTTGTTTTCTCCCTTTCCCTTTCTCTGTCTCTGGTCAAATTAAAAAAATAACAACAAAAATGGAATTAAATAAACAATTCTTTAAAAGAAAAGAAAAATAAAAACAGACCAGTGAATCATATTATAGCAACTGAAACTCATCGTAATAGAAAAAAAAAAAAGAGATCAAATGTCATTCAGTGTGATTTCAAAATGAGAATCATATTCCAGGAGGTCAGAGAGGTGGTTCTGTTTCTGGAGAGCAGAGTCTTCCCTACCTTAGCCAGAAGGTCTGAGTCGAGTTGGAGGCTGGACAGGACATCCAGGATGGGGACGGTCAGTGGGGTATTATCTGTTAGTAGGTCACTGTGAATGGTGGAGAAAGATAAAAATTAATCAACCACTTGAACAGTCAGACAGATTTGTGAAAAATCGCTCATTGGAATATGGGAGGGCAGGTCCCATGAACTAGCAGTTAAGGGAGCCAGATCCCATGTGGTCAACCACGGTTCGAATCCCAGTTCCAGTGTCTTGGAAAAACATGCCTAGCACAATGTACATGTGTGTCCAAAATCCTGACAGAATAAGTAAGAAGAGAAAGGATAGTGTGACCACGCCCCACTGGGGTTTGCTTTCTCCATCTTACCCCTGTCTCTTTCTCTGGCAAGTGCAGAGTCATTTGGTTAAAAAAAAAGAGGGAATATGGGAAAAGAGGATATATTTATTTCCTATTAAAATACTATTTACTAATGGGAAAAAATATTATTATCATTATTTTAAATTTTTGCCATAGGGAGCATGTGCTTACTGGAGAGAGAGAGAGAGAGAGAGAGAGGGAGGGAGGGAGGGGGAGAGAGAGAGGGAGAGGGAGGGAGAGAGAGAGAGAGAGAGAGCGAGTGAGCTCCTCAGCAAGACTTGGGAGAGGGAGAGAGAGAGGGAGAAATCACTCGCCGGGAGGAGATGGCCACGCCACAATCCCTCCTCCTCCTTTCTCCTCCTGAGATTTTGGGCACACATGCACACACGCTTAGTTTGATTTTTAAACTACCAGGTCTGGGATTTGAATAGCAACCAGCCATGTGGGAATCTAGCACCTTAGCCATTATGTCACCTGCCAACTGCAAATTATCGTTAATAGTATGTTTAAAAATTGTTTGATTTTGGGTCTGGCAGGTGGCATGCTGGTTAAGGGCACTGGACTCCCATATGGTTGACAATGGTTCAAGTCTTGAACCTGGCAGCTTGTTCTCTCATTTTCTCTCTAACACTGTCCCTCTCTGGTCAAATAGAAAATAAATAGTTTTTTTAAAAAAATTGTTTGATTTCAAAAAATAATATAAGCTCATTACAAAAATTATAAAAATTCAACAAAGAAATAAGAAGTCCTCCTTCACCATCCTCACCGTTCAGAGGTCACCACTATTGCATTTGGTACACGTAAATAATTCTTGAAAAAGGGAAAAAGAAAACTCAAAACGGTTACAATAACGGGTGGTAAGTATGATAAGTGTATGTGTAGAAGGCTACAGGAGTACACAGTGGTGAAGACAGTGGTGAGTTCTGAGGACACTACACAGAAGGACAGGTGGCATGGAGCAGGACAGGGGTGGTACAGATCTCTGCCTCGAGGCAGCATCCTGCCCAAGAGCCTAAATTCAGGGAACCCAGGAGGTCTGCACAGGGATCTCACAGGCAATTGGAGAAAAGGAAGTATTAAAATCGGAATGATTAAACTTTCTAAGAAAAGTAAAATGTTGTATTAAGACGGAAACAGTATTGGGACCAGCAGTTAGCGTAATGGCTATGTTGCTGGACTCCCATGTAGTCGACTGCGGTTTGAGTCCTGGATCCGGTGGCTTAAACTCACGCCGGGTGCGTGTGCATGCGTGCCCAAATCCTGAGAGAATGGAGTAGAAAAGATTGCAGCAGCATGGCCATCCCCTCTGGAGGGTGATTTCTCGCTTTTCTTTCTGGGCAGCACACACACCCTATAAAAGCAAAAACCCCTCAAAAAAAAAAAAAAAGAGAAGCAGAAACAGTATTATCTGTGACAGCCTTCCCTTCTTTTTTTCTGAGAGGTTTTTTTGCTATAGGGTGTATACAGAGAGATAGGAGACACAAAGAGAGACATCACCCCCGAGTGGGACGGCCATATATTCCCTTCTCTATTTTCCTCTTGAAATTTTGGGCACACACACACAAAACTGGTGTGAGTTTCAAGCCACCAGGTCCAGGACTCAAACCACAGTTGACCGTGTTAAGGTGTCCAACACCTTAACCACTACATCACCTGCTGGCCCCGCTTCCCCTTAATTATTGCCTTACACTATTTTTTATGTGAATGGCAGTAAGCAATGGATCTCAGAAATGGGTTGTATGCAGAGATGTGCATTAGGAGCATCTGCAGGCCAGCTCTGCAGCCTATGGGAGTCAGGTATCACATAGTTGACCACTTGGTTCAAATCCTGGCCCATGAAACTTGAGAAACATGCTAGGTGCATGTGTATGCATGCCCAAAATTCCAACAGGATGGAGAAATGGAGGAGGAATTGCAACATAACCATACCCCACTGGGCAAGGAGGTTGCTGTCTCTATTTTTCTCTAGCAAGGACATGTGCCCTCTTAAAAAAAAAAAAGAAAAACAAGAATCACCCAGGGACCCAAAGAATGCAGATGTTTAATAAGTTTCACCATGATTTTGATGTGAAGTCAGGATTGAAGATTCTTTGGAAGAAATGCTAATGGAATAAAGGGATCATGTTCAAGTTCTCCATAGAACAAATTTATGCACATAATCCTAAAACAGACTTCATGTTTATAACATGTATGCTTTAATTGTTTTTGTCTTTCTAAGAGAGATTTTTGCTATAGGGCACATGCGTTCACCAAAGAGACAGAGACAGAAAGCAAGACATCACCCCCTGGGAGGATGACCATGTCACAATCTCTTCTCCTCCATTCTCCTCTTGGGGTTTCGGGCACGCATATACGTGTGCCTAGTGTGAGTTTCAAGTCATGGGTTCCTGAACCCAAATCATGGTCAGCCATGAGGGAGTCGAGCAACATAACCATTCTCCCTGTGGATCCCACAGGTACCATTTAAAAGAAAGTAGATGGATCTATTCAAATATATACCTATTACTAGAAAAACAAGTTAAATCTTGTACCCTACTCATGAAAGGTTAAGCATCACTCTTTTTTTATATTAAGAACACATAACTTGCAACCAGCAGTTGGCGTAATGGCTCTGTTGCTGGTCTCCCATGTAGTCCGGGACTCAAACCGTGGTTGACTATATGGGACATAGCCATTACGCTAACTGCTGGTCCCACAAAAAACTCTCTTAAAAAAATTTTAAAAAGAACACATTACTGTGGGCCGGCGGGTGACATGGTGGTTAAGGGTGCTGAACTCCCATGTGGCCGACCATGGTTCTTGTCCCAGACCTGTTGGCTTGCTTTCTCTCTCTCTTGCTCTGTCCTTCTCGGGTCAAATTAAAATAAATAAAATTAAATAAAGTAATCAAAAAAAAACATTACTGCTATTCTTCTCATACGGCAGGGCTAACGCTCCCATAGTGGACCGTCTCCTGTGAAGTGACAGGGTACTTATCCACCTGAGTTCTCTCCCCACATCAGCATGCTGGGAGTCCCCTAGGATTTCAGGCAGACTGGTGATGAAGTCGTGCTGCAGGTACTCTGGAGCAACGCTGATCAGCTGCATGATCTTGGTGGTGAGATCCTGTAGTGAAGGACACTGTTAGAAATGAGGCACACTACCCAGAATAGACAGGCTACCTAACTGAAATGCAGAGCCGAAATTATCTTGTATACAGTATGACAATTAGACTCAAACTCTAAACCTAAATTCAGAAGCAAATGAACCAGAAAATTTCCAACAAGATGACATAAAGATAAAAATGTAAGGTAGGTAATTATTTATGGAATACGTCTGTAACATACTTTTTTGGGGACGAGGTTTTTGCTATAGGGTGCGTGCACTCCCCAGAAAGACAGAGAGAAACAAAGACACAGAAAGTGAGAAATCACCCCCCGGGGGGATGGCCATGCCACAATCCCTTCTCCTCCATTCTCCTCTCAGGATCTTGGGCACAGATGCACACATGCCTGGCGTGAGTTTAAACCACTGGGTCCAGGATTCAAACCATGGACGACTACATGGGAGTCCAGCGACATAGCCATTACACTAACTGCTGGTCCTTGTAACATACTTTTTTTCATTTAATCTATTTTGTGTGACAATTCCCATATTTAAAATGTGGGAATATGAGTTACTCAAAGAACAGATCCAATATTCCAGCCCACATGAGACTCCAAAATTCATATTTTTCCAAATGAAAATTAGTCTTGGAATGTCTCCCAAAACTTAGAAAAATGAGTATAAGAACTCCTGAAAAGAAATGGTTCTTGGGACCAGCAGGTGGTGTGGTGGTTTTGGCGCTGGACTTCCACATGGCTGATTGTGGTTCAAGTCTATGATCAGTACCTTGAAAGTCACTCCAAGCATGGTTACTTGCATACTCAAAATCCCAAGAAGAGAATGGAGAAGGGACTACAGTATGGCCATCCCACCTAGGTGATTGCTCGCTTTCTGTCTCTGTCGATCTCTCTGTTAATGATCAATAGCAAAAATCTTTAAAAAAAAAAAAAAAAAAAAGCAGTGCTGGCAGGTGGCATGGTGGTCAGGGGTGCTAGACTCTCACTTGGCCTACCTAGGTTCGAGTCCCAGCCCTGGCAGCTTGCTTTCTCGTCTTTTCTCTCTGTCACACTCTGTTCCTCTCTAGTCAAATTAAAGTTAAATAAACTAATTCTAAAAAAAAAAAAAAAAAAAAAAAAAAACCTTAAGCACCAGACTAAAAAGAGATTCAACTTTATCAAGGAGCTTGATATAAAACATATAACTGTAAAAACATTCCATAATTTTCCTTAAAATATAATCAAGTTAAAACATCTGGAGTAGGGGCCGGCAGGTGGCATGGTGGTTAAGGCTGCTGGACTCCCACATGGCCGACTGAGGTCCAAGTCCCGATCCTAGTGGCTTGTTTCCTCACTCTTTCTCACTCTCTCTCTCTCTGGGCAGATTAAAATAATAAATAGTTAAATAAATAAAGTTAAATAAAATAATTCTTAAAAAAAATGTGCAGTGAAAGGGCAAGCAGGTGGCATAGTGGTTAAAGCAGTGGACTCTGATACAGCCAACCATGGTTAGAGTCCTGGACCTGATGGCTTGAAACTCACATCAGGGGTTTGTGTGTGCCCAAAATCCCTAGAGGAGAATGGAGGAGAGGGGACTGTAGTATGGATGCTTCCCAGGGGATGATGATTTCTTGCTTTCTGTCTCTCTGCCTCTGTCTATCTCCCTAGCAAGTGCATGTGCCCTATAGCAAAAACTGCTTAAAAAAAAATCATCTCTGTACTTTGAAAAATAAATTTCTTTCGGGGAACCAGCAGTTAGCGTAATGGCTATGTCGCTGGACTCCCACATAGTCGACCGTGGTTCACGTCCCAGACCCGGTGGCTTAAAACTCACGCCGGGCGCGTGTGCATGCGTGCCCAAGATCCCGAGAGGAGAATGGAGGAGAAGGGATTGCGGCGTGACCATCCCCCCTGGGGGGTGATTTCTTGCTTTCTGTCTCTATGTCTCTCTCTGTCTGGCAAGCGCACGCGCCCTACAGTGAAAATCTCTCCAAATAAATAAATAAATAAATAAATTTCTTTCCAAGTAGTTATTTCATAAATGATGTAATAGCTGGATTATTTTTTTAAGAAATGATTTTCAAATTAGAACTAGAAAAGCATAATAGATGGACAAAACATGTGAATCTTCTGTTTAAAAAGAAGGAAAAAAAACTCCTATCAACTCCCAAAGATTACGTGTGAGAAACACACTTTTTAAATGCCAGAGACAGATAAAGCCCAAAAGCCTACCTTGCCATCTACAACTCTGTCGAGCCATTTTAGTTGACTGAAAATGAGTCGAGGCATGTGGATTCCATCATTGTTCATGCTGAAACGGCAGGGAAAGACAAGACAGTTGGCCTTTCTAACTCATAATGGTAAACACTAACGCTATACTTAACATTTACGGAACACTTAGGCTGCGCATCACTCACTGTGCGAGACACACACGTGATACAAAGAAAGCAGGAGATACATGCTTATACATGTGGCAAAGATGCGAGAAAGAAGACACACTGAACTGGCCTGGTGATTGAGTTGCTGGACTCCCACATGGCCCAACCATGGTTGGAGTCCCAGGCCTAGAGGTTTGCTTTCTCACTCCCTCTCTCTGGTAAAAATTAAAATAAACGAATAAGTACAATTAAATAATTATTTTTCTTAAAAGATAACAATTTAATAAACTTTAAAAAACTGAACAACGGGGACCAGCAGTTAGTGTAATGGCTATGTTGTTGAACTTCCACGTAGTCGACCGCGGTTCGAGTCCTGGACCCAGTGGCTTAAAATCACACTGGGCGCGTGTGCGTGCGTGCCCAAGATCCGAGAAGAGAATGGAGGAGAAGGGACTGCGGCGTGGCCATCCCCTCTTGGGGGTGATTTCTCGCTTTCTGTCTCTCTGTCTCTGTCTGTCTGGCGAGCGCACGCACCCTATGGCAACAACCTCTCCAAAAAAAAAAAAAACAACTAAACGACGAGGCCAGCAGGTGGCATAGTGGTTAAGGCATTGGATTCCTACGTGGCCAACTGCAATTTGAGTCTTAGACCTGGAGGTTTGAAACACACTGGGTGCCTATGTGTGCGTGTATCCCCAGTGGGGATAGCCACGCTGTAATTCCTTCTCCTCCATCTCCTCTTGGGATTTTAGGCATGCACATACATGCACCTGGCCTGAGTTTAAGCCACCAGGTCGTGGACTCAAACCACAGTCAACTACGTAGGAGTCCGGCGATGGAACCATTATGCCATCTAGTGGTCCCACACAAAACTGGACTTTTAAAAAATGTTTGACAGTCATATCTTATATCTCTTCTTTGTGAACTGTCTATTCATGACCTTTGTACACCTTTCTATTAGGCTATTGATTTTCTGATACAAATTTTGAAAAATGTGTAGTACACGAAATTTTTCAATTTTGTACCTTTTAAGGTAAAGAACAGTTTTCAGAAAATATCTGACTCCAGTCAGTTAGCTCCCTTCTTTTAAAACAACCACCACTGCTATTTTTAATGCATATCCTTATAGAGATAATCCATGTGTACACACACATATCTAATACTTACATTTAAAAATAACCCTATTTTATTTTTATGCGGTCATATTAATAGATGAAGTTTCAAAGAAAGATACCCCAGTGAAATTTTATTAGCTACTATGGAACTGCTAAGTATGACCTTTAGTAACCAACGATATTTCAGAAACTTAATTACATCAGGGTACTATGAGCATTCTGAATAACTCCACTTACTTTTCAAAAAAAAATTCTGGCAGCTTTTCAAATAAGGTTTTGATAATGGCAGGCTATAAAGAAAAGACAGAGAGAGTTAAAAGATGGTCTTAAAATATGAAACAGTGGGAACCAGCAGTTAGCGTAATGGCTATGTCGCTGGACTCCCACGCAGCCAACTGAGGTTCACGTCCCGGACCCGGTGGCTTAAAACTCACGCCGGGCGCGTGTGCGTGCGTGCTCAAGATCCTGAAAGGAGAATGGAGGAGAAGGGATTGCGGTGTGACCATCCCCCCTGGGGGGTGATTTCTCACTTTCTGTCTCTATGTCTCTCTGTCTGTCTGGCGAGCGCACGCATCCTATAGCAAAAACCTCTCTCTAAAAAAAAAAAGAAGTAAACAGTAACATAATTAGTCAGAATTCTGTCCAACCAGAGCTCTAGGAGGAATGATCTTGCTTTAATTAGTATCTTCATTTAAGAATATCCACATGGGACCAGCAGATGGCGTAATGGCTATGTTGCTGGACTCCCACATAGTCGACACATTTCGAGTACAGGACCCAGAAGCTTGAAACTCACGCTGGGCGCATGTGCATGCATGTCCCTAAATCCTATGAAAACAGATTTCGATATGGCCATTCCCCCAGGAAGTGATTCTTGCTTACTGTCTCTTCAGCAAGCACACGTGCTCTAACACAAAAATATCTCTTATAAAAAAAGAACTTTTACATGAATAATGCTATTTTGAATATAAATTGTTGGAATACAGAGATGTTATCAATAATGGGCCTCCTGAAAAACATAAGATGACTATTGAGGCAAAATTTAAATAACCAGTAAGCAAAAATACTGCTAAATGTGTAAACTGTTGGGGCCAGCAGGTGGCAAGGTGGTTAAGGGCACTGGACTCCCACATGGCCGACCATGGTTCATGTTCTAGACCTGGCAGGTTGCTTTCTCACTTTCTCTTTCTCTCTCTCTCTCACTCACTTCCTCACTCGCTCGCTCGCTCGGTCTCTCTCTGGTCAAAATTAAATAAGTAAGGGGCCAGGGGGTGGTGTGATGGTTAAAGGCGCTGGACTTCCAAATGGCTAGCCAATGGTGGCTTGAGTTCCAGACTTGGCAACTTGCTTTTTCATTCCCTCTCTCTCACTCTGTCCCTCTCTGTCAAACTAAAATAAATAATTAAAGGGAACCAGCAGTTAGCATAATGGCTATGTCACTGGACTCCCACGTAATCGAACACAGTTCGCATCCTGGACCCGGTGGCTTAAAACTCACGCCGGGCACGTGTGCGTGTGTGCCCAAGATCCCGAGAGGAGAATGGAGGAGAAGGGATTGCGGCATGGCCATTATCCCCAAGGGAGTGATTTCTCGTTTTCTGTCTCCATGTCTCTCTCTGTCTGTCTGGCAAGCGCACACGCCCTACAGCAGGAAAAAAAAAAAAACTCTCCAAATAAATAAATAAAGTTAAATCAAATAACTAAAATTTCAAAAAAATAAACAAATAAAGTTAAATAAAATAATTCTTTAAAAAAATGTGAAACTGTTAACTCATGAAATGCAGGCTTTTTTCTTTTTAGGCTATCAAAGAGTTTGCAAAGAGAGGATTTCTCTTTGGAGGAACAAGGGAATTCCTTTACTTAAGTTAGCCAATTTATTAAACGAGACGAGAATATATAAAATAAATTAAAATTAAAAAAAAGAGAGAGTGAGGAGGAGGAAGAAAAAATGGGCAAAATGAGGTTATGTAAGTGCCCAGCCCTACAGTCTGGTGGGTTAAGCCCTAGCACGAGGAGCCAGATCACACATGGCCAAACACACTTTGAATCCTGGCCCCAGCGGCTCCATGGCAGCTATGAAAAGAATGTGCGTAAATCCTGACAGGATAGAAACGTGGAGGAAAAAGGATTGTGGTGTGAACACACCCTACTGAAAGGTACTTTCTCTCTCTCTTCCCTTCTCTGTGGTAAGAACATACACTCTGACAATAATAATAATTTAAAAAAAAGTTACACAAGCAACTAGAAAGCTGTCTGGAGATGCTGCCGATGTGAAGATGGCAAAGGTAACGGCGTACTTAGAACTTTTTAAGAAACAGGAAATCAGATGATGAGGGAATTCATGAGACTGCCAGAAGTCCTGGGACAGCACACAGGCACTGCCTTACCAGTTTTCTCTCAGCCATAGGACTATGGTATGCTGCGGCAAACCCAAGCTCTGCAATTAATCCTTATCCCGTGCTCCAGCCACTAATATTTGCATATATACCACAAATATTACCCATCAAATGTTCGCAGAAAAAGCAACAATCTCACCTGTAATATGTCAATCCCCAGAAGCAATTTGATGAGGCTCTTAGAGTAAGATGTACCCATGCTGTAAAAAAAGATATATTTTTTTCTATTTTGTTTGAATGTATTTATTATCCTTTCTGCATAAAACTGGTTAAATAATCTTTAAAAAGACACTATCCTATTAAAGAGGAAATATACAACATAGCTCTTAGCAAGAGTGAAGTGGAGAATTCAAATTCTACCAGCACAAATAGGACACATTCTAGAAAACACTGTGATTCTTAGACTCATAAACATAAACTTAATAAATTAAAGGTTAAGACTCTGAGGCAAAGAGAGCTATAAACTAAAAGTGTAATCCCGACAATTGCATTCTAGCCCTCTCCTCCCTCCACTCAGTTAAGATAACAAAATGAAATGTAACAAGACTCCACGCCTCCTCTCCACACCTGGCTTCCTCATCTTGCAGGTGTTCACAAGGCAGAAGGCAGTTCCTGAAGCTGTCTTGGTCCTCAATGTAAGACTCCAGGCCACTAACAAATTCTTCTATTATCTTAACAAGGAGATTTTAAAAATAAAAAGACAAAAGTAAAATATTTAGTTAAGGTACCAGCAGTTGGCATAATGGCTATGTTGCTGGACTCCCATGTAGCCGAACGCAGTTTGAGTCCCAGGCCCAGTGGCTTAAACTCATGCCAGGCGCGTGTGCATGCGTGCCTAAGATCCTGAGAGGAGAATGGAGGAGAAGGGATTGTGGCGTGGCCATCCTCCCTGCGGGGTGATTTCTCGCTTTCTGCCTTGGTCTCTCTCTGTCTTTCTGGTGAGTACACGCACCCTAGAGCAAAAAACTCTCAAATAAAATAAAATTAAAATTAAAAATTAAAATAAAAAGACATTTAGTTTATATTTGTTGTTAGCGGGACCAGCAGGTGGTGTGGTGATTAAGGCGCTGGACACTCCCACATGGCAGACCAACGGTTTGAGTCCTGGACCTGGTGGCCTGCTTTCTCAGTTTCACTCTCTCTGTGTGTGTTTCTTTCTGGTCAAATTAAAAAATAAATGAATGAATGAATGAATAAATAAATTTTAAAATTTCTTTGTTAGCTAACTTAAAATTCATCCTAACCCAGTTCAATTACAGCCAGTGTCTTTTTTTTTTTTAAGTTGCTAGAGGAGCATGGACCTGCCAGAGAGAAAAAGAGAAACTGAGAAGGCACTGCCATGGGAAATGGTCCTGCCACAATCTCTTCTCCATCTCTTTCTCCCTTCTGCATTTTAGGCCAACACACACACGTGTCCAACATGTTTCTCAAACTGGTAGGTCAGAGACTAGAACCACAGAGTCGGCCATGTGAGCTCCAGCCAATTTAACCACTACATCGTGGGCTGGCCCACCAGTGACCTTAGATTCCCAATTCCAGAGTATTGCTGGCAAAAAGAAAAATATAAGGAAGAAAATACATACTTTGGGATAAGAAGGATGTTTCTTCAGGGCCTGAAAGAGCTTCTTTTGAAAAGCTATTTGATCCACGGCTGCAAGGAAAGAAGAATAGCTGGTCACCAGTGTTTAACATCTCCTCCCAGTCTTCTTACCCTAAAGAACTAAGTTTCTTATCTGATAAACCAATAAAGATAGCTTCAATTTAATTTTGGACCCAAATCTTCTAAATCTACAGTTAAGACAGACTTAGCTTTGATAAAAGACAGCCCCTAAGTGTTCTAAAATATATCTGCTTGGGACCAGCAGATAGACTCCCACATGGCTGACCACAGTTGGAGTCCCAGACCCGACAGCTTGAAATTCACACCAGGCATGTGTGTGTATGCCCGAGATCCCAAGAGGAGAACGAAGGAAGAGACTGGCATAGCCATACCCCCGTGGGATGATTTCTTACTTTCTGTCTCTCTTTCTCTGTCTCTCCAGCGAGCACACTTAACCTACTGCAAAAATGTCTCAAAAAAAAAAAAAAACCTGCTATAACTTTAGGAAGATAATCTATGCCCCAAAAACAGAGCTATGTATATGTTCCTAAATTTTTTTCTGAAATAATTCTGACAGATTTAAGTATTTTTTGTTATTAATTTATTTTTCCATAAGACAGTAAGAAGCAATATTAGTATGTAACACTTTAAAAATAAAAGGATGGGAAGTACTTTACTCAATGTGTACTAACCAGGGCCAAAGACTGTAAGCATATTCTCTAAAAATCAACTTTATCTTTGTCTCAAAATGGACAGACCTATTTTTAATTTTATTGCCTCTGTAGGTTTGTTTGTTTGCTTGCTTGCTTTTTTATTTTCAATTTGCCAGAGGGTGCAAAAAGCAGCCCCATGAGGAGTGGTCACACTGCAATCCCTTCCCCATTTCTCCCTTTTAGGATTCTGGGCAGGTATGTACTGGCGTGTTTTTCAAGCCACTGGGTCGGGGATTCAAACCATGTAGTTGGCCACATGGGATCCAGCTGCCTTAACTACCTTAATAGTTACCCTAGTACTATACTGCCTTAAAAAAAAATTTAACTTTATTTTTAAAATTTATTTATTTTGACCAGAGAGGGACAGAGAGAGAGAGAGAGAAAGAGAGTGAGCGAACAAGCCACCAGGTCCAGGACTCAAACTGTGGTTGGCCACGTGGAAGTCCAGAGCCCTTAAACACCATGCTACATGCCAGCCCCTCCGCTGCCTTTCTATTTAGAAAATTCATGATTCAGTTCTGAGCCCTTTCTTTTTTAAAATTATTTTCTTTAACTTTATTTATCCATTTATTTAATTAATTTATTTTAATTTTACCAGAGAGGAAGAGTGAGTGAGAGAGAGAGACAGAGAGAGAAAGTGAGAAAACAAGCCACCAAGTCCAGGATTCGAACTGTGGCTGCCCATGTGGGAGTCCAGCGCTCTTAACCACCACGCCATCTGCCAGCCCCTTCTGAGCCCTTTCAGTAAATCCAGGAAATAGAGTTAGATTAAAATATTACCTAGTTGATTCTGATTCTCTCCAGTTTTAAGAGTAAGTCCCGACATTTTAAGAAGTCTTACAAAGACACTGTCACTTTCTTCAACATCATCAGGAACTTGAGATTTCTTGGCCTTTTTGGAAAGTGGTTGTTTCCCAGCTTCAAAAAATAGGCAAAAATTTTAAGAATGTGACAACAGTAAAGCAAAAAGTCAATGTAAACCCAGGATAATTGCCCTAAGGAAAACTGATGGAAGAGGAACTTTGAAGAATTACACTAGGAGTGATGCTTCATGAATAAACTCTCTCTAATCGTGGTTAGAGGAATAGTGGCTTCCAAATGAACAATGCAATCAACATATAAAATTATTTTCACCTACCGAGTTTTCATCTGAAGAATTCAAAATCTGCTGCTTCTAACAAGAATAACTATGAAAATGTTTTGCAGCCCAATTCTGAAGGGGTCAGTGTCTCTCAGAACGCTGTCTGCAAACCACTGCATTGGAAACACTAGTGAGTGTATTAAAATGCATACTGCCAGGCCACTTCCCTGGGCCACTAAACCAGAGTGCTAGGAACGGGGCCTAGGAGTCTGAATCAAGGACCTATATGCAAGGATAGATGGAAGGGAGCAGGTTTTCCCACATCATATCCTTGAGTACAAAGCCCAGAATGGTTTCGTCCCAAGGCTTTCTCCTCATTCAAAGCAGTTAAGATGTAATAAACAAAAACAGTTACTTGAAGGCAAGTATGAGATCTACTCTTCGCCCTTGAAGCAATTCTGTTTTTTTGTTCCCCAGTCTTTCTCTAATAATAAAGCCTTAAGCAGAACGAAACACAGACCGTTCTATTCCGTAAAGAAATTTAAGGTGCAGACCCAGTTAGCTCACCACTGACCAAGAGAACCAAATTCTTCTCAAAATATTTAATTCAGAAGTCTCTTCCCTTTTCCAAAGTATGGCAATTACTTAAGTTCCTCTTCTTCAGTTTTAAATTTTCCATCAATTCCTTTGTATTCTGCCATCCCTTCTCTAGCAGGTTGTTAGAGCCTCACAATTTTGTGTTCTAAATCAATTCCATTCTTATGGTTTTAGTCTCACATTTTCATCACTCTAAATGTTATTCAAGAAACATCAATGTCAGTTGCATCTGACCAAGAGTCAGATGTAAATTTCTATAACCTAAAAAAAGGAACTCTTCAACAAGTTGTAAGTGCTTCAACAGAGTAGGTGAGTGCAATAAATGAAAACAACCATCAGCCCCTTATCTTTGGAACGCTCAGGGACACTGTCAACCACATTCTCCTACGGGCAGAGTTTACTGTGTCTTTGCCTCTGATGTGCTTGCTTTGATACGGTGACTTTCCTATATGCATCAGTATTATGGCATTTACCCAGACCGTAATTTTTTCTAAGGAAGGAAAGGGGGCCATAAAGTTTAAAGAGCAAGGACTACATCCTATCTTTGTGTCCCAGCATCTCAAAGACGTACAATAAAGTCTCTAATACTAACTCATCCTACGTGTGGGGAGACAGGCTCAGAGGCTGTGGCCGTGCCTTGAGTCAGATGTAGGATTAGAGCAGGAACTCGGTCTCCTGAAACTAGATTCACTGTGCTCTATCCAATAAGCATTGACGGACTGCCAGTACTTGAAACGTAACAACTTTCCATCTCTCTACATGCCTCACACACTTCTTACAGGAGATAAAGCTACAAGTGACTAGGTACTTACTAGAGGCATCTTCTGTCAGGCTCTCTTTCGCCTCCGATTTTGATAGCCTTCTTTTAGAAACCATTTTAACCAAAATTTTCTGCACCTCAATTACTTCCTAGAACAAAATCAGAGAAGATAATTTACCCCCTGGAAGCTAAATATGGAGCCAGATGGTCGTACAGAGGTATACGCATAGCTCTGTGAGGTAGACCCACAAGGAAAGGATACCGGTTCACATCCAGAAAGCTCCCCAGTCCAAGCTGGCTGATGTCTGCACTGACTGAGGCTAGGGGCAGATGATGGCACTAATAACCAGCTGGGAGCATTATGTCCCTGTCTTTCTCATGAAACTTAAAAAAAAATAAAAGCAGCAGCAGCTCAATTCTGAGAAATTAAAGCTGTGGATCAAAGAAAACTGTACTAACCTAACTAAAGTTATGGTCCCTTTTTCTTTAACAATTATTTTTTATTTAATTTTATTCACTGCCATTATTTCATTTTTATTTTTTGAAGTTGACCCGAGAGACAGAGAGAAAAGGAAAATAAGAAAGCAAGTCACCAGGACAGGGACTTGAACTGCAGTCAGCCAAGTGGGAGGTCAGCCAAGTGGGAGTCCAGCCACTCCAACCATGCCACCTGCTGGTCCCTATGGTCCATTTTTTAATGGTCATTAAATTTTCAAAGCAGAGGCCAGCAGTTAGTGTAATGGCTATGTTGCTGGATTCCCATGTAGTCAACCGTGGTTTGAGTCCCAGACCCAGTGGCTTAAATTCATGCGGGGCACGTGTGTGTGCGAAGGGATTGCAGCATGGCCATCCCCCCTGGGGATTTCTCACTTTCTGTCTCTCTGTCTTTCTGGTAAACGCACGCGCCCTATAGCAAAAACCTCTACCCCCTAAAAAAATTCCAATCCGTTGCAGATGGATGCTTCTATACAGTATTTTTACTGCATGTTTGGAAGTCGTAACAGTGTGGAATTATTATAATAAAAGTTTCGGGACCAGCAATTAGCATAATGGCTATGTTGCTGGACTCCCATGTAGTCGACCGCGGTTCGCGTCCCGGACCCAGTGGCTTAAACTCACGCCGGGTGTGTGTGTGTGCATGCCCAAGATCCTGAGAGGAGAATGGAAGAGAAGGGATTGCAGTGTGGCCATCTACCCCAGGGGGTGATTTCTCGCTTTTTGTCTCTCTGTCTCTCTCTGTCTGGCGAGCGCATGCGCCCTATAGCAAAAACCTCTCAAAAAATAAAGAAAGTCTCACCCCTTACTCAGTGTCTGTGTGGAAGTACAATTTCCCAACCACCACGCCACCTGCTAGCCCCACTTGGAGGATTTTAGAGTATTGCAACAAATAGTTAATGTATTTGATTAATCATGGCATGCAAATGCTTTATAAGTACAGAGTACTGGGGCCAGCAAACGGTGTAAGGCACTAGACACCCCCACATGTTCAACCATGGTTCAAGTCCCAGATCTGGTGATTTGCTTTCTCACTTTCCTTCTCTCTCTCTCTCTGTATCTCTCTCTGGTCAAACTAAATTAAAAAAAAAAAATTAAAAAAAGGAAAAAGAAAAGAATAAATAAAAATTCAATAAATAATTCTTTTTAAAAAAGAATTATTTTATTTAACTTTATTTATGTATTTATTTTTAATTTGACCAGAGAGGACAGAGTGAGATAGCCCAAGAGGAAAGCAAGAAAAAGCAAGTCGCCAGGTCCAGGACTCAAACTGCGGCCAGTCGTGTGGGAGTCCAGCGCTCTTAACCACCACACCACCTGCTGGCCCCAAATAAATAATTCTTTAAAAAAAGAAAGAAAGAAAAAACTAGTCCACGGAGGAGAAAAGCTCACACAGAACCAGGAAGGCGCCTGTAGCATTAGAAATGAGAATGAAGAGTTAGGATTAGTCTTGAACCAGAGAGCCTTCTGGTTTATCTTATACACCAGAACCTTCCTGGTTTCAGTGCCTTTGCCCGAAAATGCTCTTTTCAGCTGAAACACTTTTATCGGCATGGAAATTCCTATTCATCTTTAAAGACTCAAATGTCATCTTCTTTGAAAAGTGTTCTTCCTACCCCTAAGGGAGTTTGCTACTCCAGCTTCCCTGCTCCACCAAATATATCTAGGAGCCCTTACCATATCACCCCACCATAAGGTTCCTTGAGAGCAGGAACCCGAGTCTCATTTATCTCAGGGTTTGTTCCTTGTGCCCAGCACAGTAGGCAGAATTTAAAAAGAAAATTTTTTGAGAATACTAAAAATGGAAAGTACTTTCCATTTTGAAAATGGATTAGTACTTTCGGGTACTAATAGATAACAAAACCTGTTTTAAGTACTTTCTTCTTTTTATTTTATTTTTTTAAATTAGGTTTTCCGTAGAGCACAGGCACTGGCCAGAGAGAGAGACTGAGAGGGAAAGTGAGAAATCACTCCTCTGCAGGGAGGACGGCCACTCTGCAATCCCCTCTCCTCTGTTCCCCTTCCAGGATTTTGGTGACGCATGGCCTGCAGGGGTTCCAGCCCTGAGTTTCAAGCTGCCAGGTTCATGACTCACTGGGAGTCCAGTGCCTTAATCACTATGCCACCAGAAACTCATTTATTCTTCCAAACATGTTTTTAATGCCTGAGGGCACATACATACAACAGAGAGAGAACCTTGCCGCATGTTTGGTCACACTGTAATCCTCTTTCTTCCCATTTTCCACCACTTTAAATCCTGGGCACACCCCCACAGCATGTTTTTCAGGTCAGCAATGCGGGATCTGGTTCCTCTACACAGTGCTGAGCACTGCTGCCCTCTGGGGCTCTCGTTTTATTCACATGCACACGCAGAGAGCGCATTTTTTCCCCCTTTAATTTGCCATGGAGCACAAGTGCTGACCAGGGAGGGGTGAGGTGGGTGAGAAAGCACCCCCACAGGGGATGGCCACACAGCAACCCCTTCTCCTTTCTCTCCTGATTTTGGGCATACCCTCACGTGCTGCCTGGTGAGTTTTCAAGCGGGAACTGCAACCACGCAGTCGGCCACGTGGGATCGAGCGGCCTTAACCACAACGCAACCAGCGGGCCCCTCGGCAAAACTATTTGAGGTGGGTACCATTATTAGCCTGAAAAACAGTGGCAGGGCTGGGATTCTAACTGAGGCAGTCTGGCTCCAGAACCGGCACTGTACCACCGACCCTGACTCTGGTTATACTAACGCCTACGAGCCGTTAACGTTTCCTATGTCCGCGGCCAGCGCTAACTTCTCGTCTCTCTGCTGCCTCGTTGATTAAGTGTAATAAAGCTACCACCAGCCGTTTTGCAGACGGGGAACTGAGTCAGGGCCGTGTGCGTTCAAGGCACTCGCCCTGGCACTGCAGTCCGGTCGCGCTCCGAAATAGCGGAGGTGACCGAGCCCTCCGGGAAGGGTGGGGTGGAGGGGAAAGTGAGAAATTACTTCGTCGTTCGACGACCGAGGCAGGTACCTGGGGGATTAATCCACGCGAAGGCAGATGACGAAGCCGAAGTTCGGGCGCGGAGACCCGCAGGGAAAGTGAGGCTCAGCCCGGACCCGGAAACCAGGCCGCAAGGGCGCCGGGCCTCGAGAGTCCAAGGCAGCGTCCTGCGCTCACCCGCCGAGAAGCCGTCGCCGTCCCACGACTTCAGACTTTCCCGCCCGACGCGACGCCACTCTGACGTCAACTGGGCGCGCCTCGCCTCGACGTCAGAGTCCGCGCCGGAAGTGGGGCCCGGGAGGCCCAGCGGAGACAGTGCGGGAGGATCCCGGCTGCTGCGGAGTCCCGGGTCAGCCGGGCTCAGCGGCGTAAGAAATCCCAGAGGCTAACTCCAAGAGGCGCCCCCGCACCTAGTGGAAGACGATCGGGCTCCCCTCGGCCGGGAGCCGCCGTTCAGTGAAGATGGCGGGGCCGGAGCTACTGCTCGACTCCAACATCCGCCTCTGGGTGGTCCTGCCCATCGTTATCATCACTTTCTTCGTGGGTATGATCCGCCACTACGTGTCCATCCTGCTGCAGAGCGACAAGAAACTCACCCAGGAACAGGTGTCTGACAGGTCAGCGTCTTCCCCTTTCCGGGCCTCACTCCCCGTGACCTTGGGCGAGAAAGTGAGAGGGTTATGTTCGGATTCGCGTCGCGACCTTGGTTTTTCCCTCTGTTTCACTTTGGTCATCTGTAAAATGAGGATGATAACAGTACTTACGCAGAGAGCAGGCGGGGTTAAATTAGATCATGTCTTTGAAACCATTAGCACAGGATCTGAGACGTATTAAGTGCTCAGAGATTAGGGGCTCACACCTAGCTGGCATGCCTACGGAGATCCTGGGACCAGAACCCAGAGCTTCCCTATGTGGATCCAGATGTGCCACCACTGTATTACTGTTTCTGTTTAGATTTGATGGTATTTATTGTAACAGTTTAGTTTTAGTGACAACTAGTACAGGATTTCTACTTGTTAATTTATAGATTCCTCTTAAAACTTACATAGGCACATAAAGGGTTGATACATGAAAAATATTAAGTATGGGATACTACAAGTGCTAGGTGAATAAGACAAAAACCATGACATGGAATAAGAATGAAGTTTGAGAAGAACTGCTTTGTCTTTTTTTTTTTTTTTTTAACTTTGCTATAGGATATGTGTGCTCACCAGAGAGAGAGAGAGAGAGAGAAGAGAAAGTACCCACCTTGGGGAATGGTCACACCACAATCTCTTCTCCTGTTTCTCCATCCTGTTGGGATTTTGGGCATGCACACACATGTGCCTAGTGTATTTCTCAAGCAGCTAGGTCTGAAGTCGTGTGTATATGTGTGTGTGTGTGCATGAGAGATTATGCTGTAGGGTGCATGGACTCACCAGAGTGACAGAAAGCAAGAAATCAACCCCAGAGGGGGAATAGCCAAACAATAATCCCTTTTCCTCTCAGAATTTTGGGCACACACGCACCTGGCATGAGTTTTAAGAGGCCATGCTAGGTCCGGGACTTGAACCACAGTTGACTACATGGAAGTGAAACGACGTGACCATTATGTCATCTGCTGATCCCAGGGTCTGGGTCTTGAAATGTGTAATTGGCCATGTGGGATCTGGCTGCCCTGACCATCAGGCCACAGTGCAATCATCTTTAGTTGTCCTTCCCAATTATGCTGAGAATAAAAATAGTAAGCCAATATTTATTAATTGCTTATTCTATAGCAGGCACTATACTAAGCACTTATATTCGTGAACTTAAGTAAACTCAAAGCAACTCTATAGGGTAGGTAGGTGCTGTTGTCTCACTTTATAAAGACTGGGGATTAAAGAGGTGCCATAGTTACACGTGGTGACATTCAGGACTTATAGCCAAGTGTTTTTGTTCCCAAGTTTGGGGCTCTTTTCACTGTGTAGCAATGGCTGATTTGTTTTTTTGTTTGTGGGATCAGTTTCAGAACTGACTAGAGTCCACCCATTGGAACTAAACTTAAGAAGTCAGCTTACCACATAAAGGAAGGCTATATAAAAATACAAAATAGGGGCCGGCGAGTGGCATGGTTAAGGGCGCTGGACTCCCACATGGCTGGCCGTGGTTCGAGTCCCAGACCTGGTGACTTGCTTTCTTTCTTTCCCTCTCTCTCTCTCATTCGCTCACTCTGTCCCTCTCTAGTCAGATTAAAATAAATAAATAAAATAAATAAAGTTTAATAAAAAACATTTAAAAAAATACAAAATAGAGGTGCCAGCAGGTGGCAGGGTGGTTCAGGGTGCTGGTCTCCCACATAACAGGCCACAGTTCAAGTCCTGGACCTAATAGCTTATTTTCTCACTTTCTCTCTCTCTCTCTTTCACACTCTCACTCTCACTCTGTCCCTATCCGGTCAAATAAATAAATAAAGTTAAATCATTCTTAAAAAAAAAAAATAGATGAGCCAGCAGGTACCATGGTTGTTAAGGTACTGGACTCCTACATGGCCAACTATGGTTTAAGTCCCAGTTCTGGTCGTTTGAAAATCACTCAAGGTGCATATGTGTGTACCCAAAATCCTGATAGGAGAATGGAGGAGAAGGGACTGTGGTATGGCTATCCCCACTGGGAGGTGATTTCTCACTCTCTCCCTCTGGCTAGCTCATGCACCCTATGATAAAAACCTAAAACATACAACGCAGAAAGATCTCAGATAGTTAGTGCTTATTGGCACCTATGAATTGTTCCAGTTTTATTCTTATAATAGCACTGAGGTAGATAACCCTAACCCATTTCATAGTTGAAGAAAAGAAACCCCAGAGATGATAAGTAGCCTTCCCATGTAACCAAAGTAGTAAAATATTGTGCCTCTACTTGAGCCCAAATGAGCCTCACCCCCCAGTTAAATCCTTCTTACATGCTGTCATCGATTTTTTTTAGTTTTTTTTTTTCCCTATAGGGTACGTGCACTCACCAGAAAGACAGAGAGAGACAGAGACATAGAAAGCAAGAAATCACCCCCCAGGGGGGATGGCCACGCCACAATCCCTTCTCCTCTCGGGATCTTGAGCACACACGCACATGCGCCTGGCGTGAATTTAAGCCACCGGGTCTAGGACTTGAACCGTGGTCGACTACATGGGAGTTCAGCGACATAGCCATTACATTAACTGCTGGTCCCTGTCATCGATTTTCTACTAGAAAGTTTCTGCTCCTGATTCACTGTGATTTAAAGCAATAGTCCTGAATGAAACCAGAGGCAAAGCTCTCCTTTCTCACCCCAAAATGAAATTCACGGTTAGCACAATCTACATAGAAAAACATTTAAAAAGAAGAAAAAAGACAACAGAATGCTTTAGTTAGCAAAGTCAATCAGTAAAGGTAATTCAATAAAAGGAAAGTAATTTATATTTTAAAAGAGCTGTGCACAGCTATCCTAGAAGGTGTAGTGCAGAAGTCAGATGTATGCCCCTACCTATAAAATCACTATAGGGACCAACAGATGGTGTAGTGGTTACATCGCTGGACTCCCACACAGTCGACTGTGGTTCAAGTGCTGGACCGGTGGCTTAAAACTCACATCAGGTATGCGTGCATGCATGCCCCAAATCCCAAGAGAGAATGCAAAAGGCACTGCGGCATGGCCGTTCCCCCAGGGGGTGATTCCTTGCTGTCTCTCTGGCAAGCACTCACACCCCATAGCAAAAATCTCTCTCTTAAAAATAAATAAATAGGGACCAGCAGATGGGGCAATGGTTACATCGCTGGACTCCCAGAGAGTCGACTGCAGTTTGGGGTGTGAACCCGCGGCTTAAGACTCGTGCTGGGTGTGTACGCGTGCATATCGAAAATTCAAAGAGGAGACGGAGGAGAGGGGATTGTGGTATGGCCATCTTCTCTGGGGGGGGGGGGATTTCTCACTTTCTGTCTCTCTCTGGTGAGCCACATACGTTCTATAGCAAAAATCTTCTAAGAAATAAATAAATAGATAAATAAATAAATAAATAAACATCACTATGATTAGATCAGATTCCATTGTAGGCAGATACAGATGTATTAGCTGCTTAAATATCACAAAAGGCCATGTTGTCTTGATGTGATTTTCCTACAAGGTGAATACTCTTGCTAAAGCTCTGAAAAACATAAAGTGCAGTTTTCCCTAAGTGCACTCAGTGGTTACATATCTAGAAATTTAACAAATATGAAAACCATGTCCTCCTTCCCTCCCCCACCCAAAAAAAAAAGGAATTAGATTTGAGGCTCAGATTATTCAAAACAATTGGTTAGGCATTCAAAAGTAGTGTGGGACATGGACTATTATTTGTGTGGCCTGACTATCTCAGACATTAAAAGGTACTTACCAGGAACCAGCAGTTAGCGTAATGGCTATGTCGCTGAACTTCCATGTAGTCAACCGCAGTTCAAGTCCTGGACCCGGTGGCTTAAACTCACACCGGGCACATGTGCGTGCGTGCCCAATATCCTCAGAGGACAATGGAGGAGAAGGGATTGCGGTGTGGCCATCCCTCCTGTGGGGTGATTTATCACTTTCTGTCTCTCCGTCTCTGTCTTTATGGCGAGCACATATGCCCTATGGTAAAACCTCTCAAAAAACGAAACAAAACAAAACAAAAAAGGTACTTACCATCTCTTACCCCTAACAAATGAGTGAGTTATTTTGGAGCTCTTTTTCCCTTCTATTCCACCATTTTCACAAAAACGTTCCACAGATTTTTGTAAGGCCCGCTAGAGGGCAATACTACCCTCATTGTAGAACCACTACATTCGAGAATACATCTCTGGTCATAATTGCTTCATTCCCTAAGTGAGGTGGTTGGATCATGTGTCCTCTGGAGACCCTGCCCCACCGAGTCATCATTTGAACTTGAGTAGAATGTCATGCATTCTGGGACCAACAGGTGGCGTGGTGGTTAAGGTGCTGGACACTCCCACATGGCTGACCATGGTTCAAGTCCCGGACCTGGTGGCTTGCTTCTCACTTTCCCTCTTTCTCTCTCTCTCACTCTATCCCTCTCTCAATTTCTCTGTTTCTCTGGTCAAGTTAAATGAATGAATAAATAAAATTAAATAAAATAATTCTTTTAAAAAAATGTTATACCTTCTGAACCAGCCAAGTTCAAGGCAAAAAGATGGGTTTTAGCTGTAAACCATTCCTCTAAATACAATATAAGTCTAGATTAGCCTGAGAGATAAAAAAATGGGATATTCGATTTCTTTCTTTTTTTAAGGTTTTTGTCATAGGGTGCATGGGCTTGCAAGAGAGAGACAGAGACCGAGAGAGAGAAAGGGAGAAATCACCCGTGGAGGAGGTGGCCAGACCACAATCTCTTCTCCTACATTTTTAATATTGGAATTTCGGATACACACAAACATGCGCCTAGCATGATTTTCAAGCCACCAGGTCCAGGACTTGAACTGCTGTGGCCATGTGGAAATCTAGTGCCTTTTTGCTACAGGGTGCATGTGCTCACCAGAAAGACAGAGAGACAAAGACAGAAAGCAAGAAATAATCCCTCAGGGAGGATGGCCATGCCACAGTCCCTTCTCCTCCATTCTCCTCTCAGGATCTTGGGCATGCACGCACACGCGCCCGGTGTGAGTTTAAGCCACCAGGTCTGGGACTCAAACCGTAGTTAACTGCATAGGAGTCCAACAACATAGCCCTTACACCAACTGCTGGTCCCACTGATTTCTTAAATTATTAAGCTTTTACTGTTTCAAAACTTGACTAAAGTTTTTCTTAAATATATTAAACCACAAATGAAAAATACATGAGTAAAATAAAATAGAACATATTTGGAGGTAGAATGTAAGAAGTGGTTCTCAATCTCAAAGAATATGATGACTCTTGGAAAAGGAAAAAAAAATTTACAGGTTCTTAAGGGTATAGAATTTTAGTTTGAGAAGTTTTTTTGTTTGTTTGTTTGTTTTTTGCTATAGGACACGTGTGCTCCCCAGAGAGACAGAGACATAAAGTCAGAAATCACCTCTCAGGTTAGGCCACGCTGTGATCTCTTCTACTTCATTCTCCTTTTGGTATTTTGGGCACACACATACACACACACACACTCACACACGGTTGAGTTTCAAGTCACCAGGTCCAGGACTCAAACCACAGCTGACTTTGTGGGAGTCCAGCAACGTAACCATTATACCATCAGCTGGTCCCTGAAGTATTGTCTTAAAAATTGCAGTTTCTGACCCCGCCTCGATAGCACAGACTGGTTGAAGCCATGTGAGAGGCCAGGATTTGATTTCCATTATAAAAACCTGGCCTGGTGGCATGAGCCTGTACTCTCAGCTGCGTAGGAAGCTGAGGCAGGATTGCAACATAGTGAGACCCTGTCTAAAAAAGGCACAAAAGGGGCCAGCAGGTGGCATGGAGGTTAAAGCGCTAGATCCTACATGGCCAACTGCATACTTCAAGTCCCAGACCCAATGGCTTGAAAGTCATGCTAGGCTTGAAATTCACGCCAGGCACTTATGTGCCCAAAATACTGAGAGGAGAATAGAGGAAAAGAGATCGCAGCGTGGCCATCCTGTTGGGGGGTGATTTCTCATTTTCTATCTCTCTGTGTCTCTGTCTTTCCCTGGTGAGCACACGTATAGCAAAACCTTTTTAAAAAGGAGGGGGGGGGATTTTACTTTAAGAAAATGTCTTTCTGATGCAAACTACTGAAACTTTATTTTTATAACTAGTACAAGGACTTACTTTTAGATATTCATGGAAATGAAACATAAAAGCTAAATTTTCTTGTAGAATATGCAGATTTCAGAGAATACAGCTATGGATCTCAGCTTAAGAAACTGAGCGTTTAAAATTTACAAGATAATCTAAGCTTGACTTGATTCAGCATCCTGAAATGCCTCAGGCTCCTAATTCTCGACCCTGATCTATAACGCTGTTTAGTAATATCAGTGTAGGAGATCTAATTGAGATTTTATTGGTCACAGTGTTCAAAAAAGTCCTGCGTTATCATACAGTGAAGATTTTTAAATTTTGCCGTAGAGCACTTGTACTCACTGGAGAGAGAAACAGAGAGGGGGACAGTGAGAAAGCATCCCTGGAAGGAGGGGGAGATGGCCATCTCCACCCCTTCTCCTCCACTATCCTCTTAAGATATGGGTCTTGCACACACACACGTTTTTCAAGCCACCAGTCCGGGACTCGAACTGCAGAGTCGGCTATGTACGATCTAGTGCCTTGTCCACTATATTTTTTTACCCCTTAAGATAATGAGTAAAATACAGTGGGACCAACATGACCTTATGAAGTCTGGTTCTTGCCCACCTCTTAAGCCTCCTTTTTTATCATGTTTTTTTATGTATTGAGTTGTTGGAAAAGTCATGACATTTTTTCTTTTCTTTTTTTTTTTGGAAAGGTTTTTGCTACAGGGTGCGTGCACTCGCCAGAAAGACTGAGAGAGACAGAGAGACAGAAAGCGAGAAATCACTCCCCAGGGGGGATGGCCACACCGCAATCCCTTCTCCTCCATTCTCCTCCCGGGATCTTGGGCACGCACGCACACGTGCCCATCGTGAGTTTAAGCCACCGGGTCCAGGACTCGAACTGCAGTCAACTACATGGGAGTCCAGCAACATAGCCATTACACTAACTGCTGGTCCCCTCAATGTCTGTACTTCTCACAGACCAGCATTGGTACATAGGCCACACTTTAAGTAGCTTTAGACCAGCTCCCAGGGAATAGAACATGTGACCTATCACCTCTGTCGGCCTGTGACATGTAGTAGTCAAATGTATAGTATAATGAGGCCAAGAGAAAGAAGGCCAGAGAATGCCATGAGGGCACTGAGCCTCGGGAAGGGTTTTGTAGAGAAGATGGAACTTGAAGAAGGTGCCAAAAACATGATGGGGTAAAATTGGAAAGGAGAGGGACACTAGAGCATTCTCAGCATATGGAGAAGCTAGAATATGGATAGAGTGACGAGGAGACCCCAGTGGTACTGATGGCTTAGAACCGGTGGTTTGTCCCGAGAGAGCAAGGCAACCTCAGTTTTCTTCTGTTCCTTTCTGTCTATGATTTTTTTCTCCCCACCTTTCAGGAAGATTTCCCTCAAGGGCTTTTTTTCCTCTGTAAATACTTTTTTTTTTTTTTTTTTTTACTGATGGATAGACACAGTTTTTACTTTATTAAATTTTCTGTATTTTCTAAGTTTTCTACAGTGGACTTGTAGTATCTTTGTAACAGGGGAAAATGTTATTTAAAAATACTCTGGAAAAAATTACTTTTAAAAATATCCCATTTACTTCTGAAGAAGACTAACCCCAAAATGTTTACACTTACTCATTTTCATCTTCATTGTCGAAAGAAAGAAGGCTGCTGTTTTTTTATTTGCTTTTGTGAGTGCTTTTTAACTGAGTCCTGCTTACTCATTTCATCTGCATTTGTTTTCTTCTTTTTTGAACTGGCTGATAAACCTGAGTATTTTTCATCTGAGGGACATTTGACTGGTTTTCGATATATAATTCTTCCATCAGCTGCATCTGGTTCTTCATCTGCTTTGGCAGCCTTTATTTCTGCTTTAATTTTCATGACTTCTTCAACTGACAGGTCTCCCTTTTTTAAGACCGCCACTTGGGGCTGTTCATCATCTTTGTCACTGTGATCACCATCTTCATCTGGGAGCTGAGGCTGGATTCTCTTGGTCTCCACCGTGGGTCCGTCCCGGTAGCCAACTCACTCCTTGAAGTGGGCCAGGAACGCTGGCTCCGAGTGCCGCACGTATGACACCTGGTTCCGCTTGCTCATGCTAGCTCTGGGGACAAACAAGTTCCCGGGAACTACTTGCGACGGCCCCAGGGAACGGCACGCACCACGACGTCATGCTGGCCACCTGTAAATACATTTTTGAAAGTGTAAGGAAGTTGGGGCCGGCAGGTGGCACGGTGGTTAAAGATGCTGGATCCCACATGGTCAATGGTGGTTTGAGTTCTGGACCTGGTGGCTTGCTTTCTTGCTTTCCCTTTCTCTCTCTGTGTGTCTCTCTGGTCAAATTAAAAAATAATAACAAATGCAAATTAAAAAATAATTATGTATAAAAAGAGAGGGAGAAAATGTAAGGAAGTTGGGCCAGCAGGTAGCCTGGTGGTTAAGGCACTGGATTCCCACATAGCTGACCATGGTTTGAACTCTGGACCTGGTGGCTTTCTTTCTTTCTCTCTCTTGCTAGAGTGCATGAGCCCTGTAGCAAATTAAAATATAATAGACAATTCTTGGGGTTTTTTTGAGAGATTTTTGCTACAGGGCGCGTGCACTCGCCAGACAGAGAGAGACATAGAGACAGAAAGCGAGAAATCACCCCCCCCAGAGGGGATGGTCACACCGCAATCCCTTCTCCTCCATTCTCCTCTCGGGATCTTGGGCATGCACGCACACGCGCCCGGCCTGAGTTTTAAGCCACTGGGTCCAGGACATGAACCGCAGTCGACTACGTGGCAATCCAGCGACATAGCCATTACGCTAACTGCTGGTTCCCGACAATTCTTTTTAAAAAAGAAAGCCTAGGAAAGTTAATATTTTGATCTGCTCTGTTTGGTGTTTGTGTCTTAGCCACATCCACTCTATTATCTTTAGGGATCAACCATGTTCTAATAACAAATCATTTTGTTTCCTTATTCAGCACATTAGTAAGAGCAGCCTGAATCCTGGGTAGAATTTGTTTGTTATCCCTCAGATAATAACTCCTCCTTTCTCTGTGGCTGTTAAAAAGTTCCTTCTTTTATCCTCACCCTTCCCCCTTCTTCTGTCCCCAGATCTTCTGAGCCATGTCCAGCTGCTACTCCTTTCACTCAGAGAAAGTTCCTTCTTAGTTCATTATAGAGTATGAAAAAGCTGAGTGAAATGTCCCAAATGTGTTTTATTCAAAAATTTTTATTTGTTCAGAAATAGTCACTTCTGAAAAGTACTCTTTTGAAAACCTCATCATTCGGGTAAATATGTTGGATTGATTTAAGAATACTTGTATTTTGGATAGTTTCCATACAGAGCTATTGCCAAGTAGGCCCTCTCTTGTATTTAATTAGGTCTTCTACTTCTCATTTTCTTCTAGTGTTTCACTTTTTAAAATCCCATTGTCTCGGTTGTATTTTTCAGTCAAGTCCTGATTCGAAGCAGAGTCCTCAGGGAAAATGGAAAATACATTCCCAAACAGGTACTCATTCACCTTTTATTAAAAAGCTCCACGATTCACTGTTGAGGGCAGTAGATAATCTGAATGTTTTATAGGGAATGTTTTATAGGGAGACGCTATGGGAAAGCTGAAGATTGGCAGCCCAGTAATTAAGCTGTGGCCTGGTGGTGTTCACGGTCATTGTGACCTCATCCTTCTTAGGAAATTGTTTTCAAATGTGACTCAGCTAAAGTGTCAGGTCACCTGCCAAGTAGGCTGACAGCTCTGACTGTAACCGCATATTCCCGGGGCCCTGGGGACCGAACTCCTGGGGGGAAATTTGACAATTTACCGTCACAGCTCCTAGACTTAAAAAGCTTTCTTTCCCT